ATTCAGTCATATAACCGATGAGTATAGATTTACATAGCATGTGTTGATGTAATAAAATTTTAGAACATGAGGCATGTTAGACAGTAAAATATTTCTTCCAAATGCATTAACATTGTTCAATCATGCAAATATTTCATTCTTATTACTTTTCAAGGAACAACATCAGAAATAATAATCATTTTTTTCTCTTTCATTGAAATTTCAAATGTTGTTTGTTTGTTTGTTTTTTTTATACATATCGTATTATATTTGTATGTGATATGTGACAGATGAATATGAATTTAAAAAATAATGTTTTGAGAATGAACGAATGAATGAATGAGATAGAGGGAGAAAGAATAACTGAAAAATGCCTCAGGGGTTTCCGAAAGATGAAATTGAGATATCAACAAACAATTAAATTTCTACTTATTTGTACTGAAAATTCTGTTTCGGCACGAGGATTTTTTAAACTATTTTACTCTTTCCCAATCTGAATCAGGTAATCAGGTAATCATGTGATAAAAAATCTTTGTAATGTAGTGGTTTTTGTGCTTTGAGTAAAGTTGCGACAGTATTTATACATATACAACATGCATGAAGTTCTTATAGTTTTTATCTTGGGTTTTACTCTGATAAAATGGAGAGAGCCCAGCCTTTCAGCTGGAGGCACTGCGATTCAAATTAGAACAGAATCTATTTTACCACACTCTTTAGACCTACAGTTTATAGTGGAATCGGAACTCCTTGCAAGCTCTGCACATTTCAAAGTCACGAGTACATCATAAGACCTGGTGTACGCTGCAATATATCTAGTCACAATTCGTGTACGCGCGATGCTGTAATGAAATCATCCAGATGCTAGTATATCCTAGTATACCTAGCAAAAGAGACACCGCTGAAATTACTCTAAAAGTAGTGTGAAAAGTCATTATTACTATAAAGAGTGTAGGTCAGATTAACCCATATACATTTGACGATTATAGGTGGGAACTAATATTAAAATCCATGCAAACTGCGCAGGCTAACGACCCTTTAAAATTAAACAATTTTGAGTTTTTTTGACCACGATTCACCCCTGAAAAATAAAATTTCATTTCATTTGCGTTTATGAATAAAAATTTCATCTATGCGATATCACCACGAATAATAACAACAGCATGAAAAACAATAACGCTATAACGGTATGAATATTTAACATCGAAGACAGTGATAAAAATAAACAACAAAGAGTCAGCTGTCACCAGTAAGACGATCGAAATGTAAAAAAAAGGTACGCTAAAACAATGAAGCAGTAATTTTAATAATGAGACATCAAACAATAATTCTTTTTTTTTATTTCAACGAATTGAAAATTTCTCTTTTTGCTCTTGTTTTTCAATTTTACTTTTGGACTTAAAATGAGTGCATGCAATACATAACCCTTCAAGCATTAAAGATGAAATGGATAATTAATTTATTATAAATAAATATAAGAGAATTGCGATAAAAATAATATGCAGAAAAACGAAATGAATGAGGAATAAAGGAACTAAGAAAAATGACTTAAGACATACAGCATTTTTTCAGATAATAAATGAGCTGTTGCTGTCAAGTTTGTCTCGGACTAGATTAGCTAAAATATTTTATAAAAAACGATTCAAAATTAAAACACAGCATAAGATTGTGATTCTTCAGAATTAAGAATGCGCCTTAGCACCTTGAATGACAGAACTTTTGAACATTTCTTTACGTTCTGTGTCTTGTTAAATATCTCATTTCGTCTTTTGTTTGTTTTTCAACAATCTTTAATAATATGAAAAATAACAGAACGCCGCTGAATGGGAAGAGGAAAAATATATTGCTGATTTTATTGATACTTTAAAGTATGAATTTCGTCTTTTTAAGCTCATGAGATATTTCTCTCTTCTTTTGTGAATGTTCATCGAACATCCTTCGTCTTTCTTTTCTCAGTTCTTTTTTTATTTAAATGAGCATTATCATCATAATGATTATTATTATTATTACTATTAAGAATAAACGGGCACACATACATGCTAATAAACAAGAGGATTATTGAATCTACGTGTATAACAGAGCATCACCTTAAGAGAAAAAAGACAACAACAAATACGGAATAACAAAATTGCGATAACATGCTAACAATGAAACTTAAAAGAAAAGAACTAAAAATCTTCCTGCTGTGAATTTTTCTTATATTGGATATTCACTTTGCATTCAATTTTTTTAGTTTAATTTAAAAGGAAAGCAAAACTTTTTACTTCTACGACAGACAGCCGTTGAACATTTTTTATTCCTTCATAATTTGCCTTCATTTTAATTTTATTTACATGAAAGAACTCTACAATTTAGCATTCATTTCCATTGAAGGAAGAGATGCAGAGTAATCGATGCTTTTATCACGTGTATTTTATGTATGTCAATCAATTTCCAATATGCTATTCATACCATACACATGTCCACTACATTGTTCTTCATAATTGCAATCCAAACTATTTACTTTAAGCCGACTTGAAGTGCTTCCGTTTTTGGTAAAATACAATTGGAAATGTAAAGAAATTTTTTCACAATTTACCTCTTGTTCCTTTTAAGGTGTTGTACGTGCTAACATTGAATTTTACTCGCCTTTTTGTATCACTTGTTTCTTACGATAATGTCAAATTGTCAGAAATTTGTGGACAGTTGTTAAGACTCAAAGTAGTTGTCTTTGGGATTCCTTTGTGTTGTAAGGTTTTCATGTTGCTTTTTTAGAGTTTATTGGACTTTTGATATGAAACAGAAACGTATTCAGCATGTTTAGAGTATGAAACTCTTAAATTATGCTTAAATCTGCTTCATTTTTAAATAAAAAAGAAGACCTCAGAAATGACAATAAATTTACCTTCCTCGCTCTATTGATGCGTGAAATTAAATTTTCTTTTCCTTAAGTACATATCTTCAATTTGTTGTGCATTTTTGCTCACATTATGTTGAACTAACCCTCATAATAAAACGTAAATCCATTAAATCCCATACATAATTTTACTGTAATTGTGAAATAAGATTGATGTGTCTAGAAAAAATTGAAATAATTCACTAAACAAGTAAGTTTAAAAATCACAGCATCTATTAATTCATCAAAATTATGTCACTTAAAAGTGTAAAATAAAATTTAATTCATTTCATCGAAATGTTAATTGAACCTTCCTTGTTAACCCTTCATTTGATGTCATGCAATTTTAGTAATTTGTACAAAGTACTGAAAGAAATTAGAAATTAATTCCGTTGGGAAATCTATTTTATGAAGAGCAGCAGTGGAGATAAAATAAATTGCAAGGGGTTTTTATACAGAACTCAAAAATCAGAAGCAAGAAATTCCATCGTTTCGTGTTACAGGTTCATTTCGCCCTTTTCATATTATTTATGTTGCAGCATTATCCTTCTCATATTCCACATAATCCCAACATAAAATTCAATTTTTGACTCACAAAATATTTTTTTAAACAACCCCAAAAAATCTTATAAATCTCTCCTGAAAATTATGTTTGCAGTATAAATCCATAAAATAATTTTAGTTGATTACATTTTTTCACAAGATAATGCATGTTCTGGTTGCTGCATACGTATAAAGGGAGGGTTGTTTTTCCATTCCGAGGTCAAAGTCATTCATCACACCCTCCTCAGTACATTACTGCAGCAGCAACAGCAGCAGCACCAACGCAAAATATGTAATCAAATTTGGATTAAATCGATGCAAGTGAATAAAAATAAAATACAAATTTTTATGCGAGGGTGTCTACTGAACCGAAGTAATGCTCATTTTTTCTGCATGTACTTGAGTCTATGCTTGTAAAAACTTATTGAAACATAAAGGATGTTTAATGCGATTTAATCATCTCATAAGGGAAAATATACACAGTTCCCTCTCATTGCGAATAATTTTCTAGAGGGAATAATTTGCTGTCACTTGAAAAAATGAAAACACAATGAGAGGAAATGTAATTGGAATCTTTATACTAAAGATTTTTACATTGCGATTATGTCATGTACGTACTTCTCCTGCTCTTTTGTTCATTTCTAATATTTTCATCATCAATTTTCATTTCGTTTCCTTTTTTTGTTGTTATTGTTTTGATAATCTGATTAGATACCATCACATTTCAATGGTAATAGAATATGTGCTGAAGATTATGAATAACTTACGCACTAGCATCAAATATCTAATTATTGTTGACATAATTTTTATGCTTATTAGAAACAAACGTACTTCTTGCATTCTTTCCCATCAATTTTTAAAACTGTCTAGAGCGAATATAGAGACGTTCATGAATGCTTTTAGATAGCATCTCACTGATGGAATACTTAAGTTAATTCTGGAATATCAATGAACTTTTCAATAATGATTATTGGACAAAAAAAGGAATAATTTTAAAGCAAATCAAAGAAGCCCCAAAAAGTTGGAGGCTATAACTTTGTTCAGATCATTAGTCCTGTATCAAAATACAACAAATTGCCATTAAAAAACGTATGAGCAGATCCAGTTATAAAGAGATATATAGAGAATATTTTTCCAAGTAATTTAATGCCCATCGCCAATCTCATTTTTTCGGTCGTTTACTTGCTTTTGCCTTCGTCTTCCTTTTGTTAATGCGCATTGTGTACAGTGCTGCTGTTGTAGCCTGCCATTCCTCTCTCTCCTTCCTCTTATCCACATTGCAAATACATAAATTTATTTAATTTTTTATTCGTAACGACATCATATTTTATGTTTAAATTGACGTAAATTGAAATAAACGATTGTGCCTGGTTTGTTTTTGATCTCTTTCTTTTCAGAGAAATAAAGTTTCTGTTTTGGCTGCTTTTTTTACGATATGTCGGCTCATGACAATAATTTTCTACTCTCATGTCGTTTGATGAAATTGAAATTTTGCTGCAGATTTTTGTTTCCTCTGGATGATGAAAATGTTTAACATTTTGAAGTTTAACTGAACATTTTGAGACAGATGAATGGAATGTCGAAATAGAAATGAATTCATTATGCAGAAAATTTTCAAAAAAAAAATAATATCGATAATCATCTCTTTGCTTCATTTATTGTTCGTATTCAAATTCACATTAATTTATGGAACATCACGATATCGGATCATTAATAAATCCCTGCATGGGTATGAATGTACGTTCAATTAAGATATTTTAAACTTTTTCATTTCATTAAGTTCTTTTTCTTGCTGTTCTTTCTTAATCTCTTTGTCTGTTCTTTGGAATATTCCGGAATCAACACAGAAAGGTATACGATATGCTGCAGAAATAAACTTTTTCTTAATCACTTGATATTAATTTACATTCAATTAATGGTACTTTTTATTTCATATATCTCACGTGCAAATCCACAATTTAATTACTTTTTTCATGCTCAATGGTTTGCAGTTTTTGCATAATTTAATTTTATGAGCTGGTTTTATGTTAAATTTTTGTTAAAACTTATAATTTAAAGTATTTTTTACGGATTCAACAAAGGAGTCAGAACTCTGTTTTTCTTCATTCATTACCTTTAAACATTTTATTTACCATAATTTAAGTAGTACATATCCTAAATGTGTTTTCAACAACAAGGTTTCAATTTCACTAAATATTCCTTAATTGTTATGGCTACTCTATAGTCCATTACATGTAGTATCATATACATGTATTTAATGACAAAAAAGGCAATTAATGATAAATAACGAGTCTCAAATTGTTATCTCTTTAATGGTGTATGAAATGGCCAAAAAGTGTTTCTTTAAAAGCCAGTCGATTCTCAAAAAAAAAATTACACTCAATGACAGTGACAAAATATGGTGCGGTGCATGAAAAATGCTTATGTATTTTCAAAATGATGAAGGAAATGTGAAGAAAATGTTTGCTGTAAATAAATCACATCTTGAATCAGTTTTAATTTTACTTTAAGAAAATCTCCGACAAGCTTTAAAGCGAGGAATTTTCACGCAAAAATTATTTATTACGATTCAATCAAAATTAATTAACATTTTACTTGAGACTTGATGGTAAGGAATGTTTAAAAAAATATTATTATTCATGAATGTGAAGCTTTAAAAAATAACCTTAAGTATCGCAACATTATGAACGTTTTTTGAGATATCGTTGATTTTCATACAGTTTCTAAGTTATGGAAATCATTTATGAATCAATCGGCAATACAAATTTGAAGCTTCAATAATATATTCGAATGGTTTTTTCAACTTTTTTGAAATTGTTTGGCAATAAAGCTTCACAGACGTATTTAATGACTTCAAGCCTTCTTCCAGAATCTAAAGCCTCTTGGAGGTACATATTTGCACAAGAATTTTCCTTAATCTCTAAATTGCTTAAACCTTTCAAATTTTCAAATGTTCTTGACGGAATAGATTTAATTTTGTTGAAATTCAAGAATAGTTGCTCAATTCTTTTATTATCTTCAAAAACATTTTCTTCTATGAATTCTATCATGTTGTTGGAAAGATCAATTCTCTCAAGATAAATAAGATTTTTAAAATTTTCCTTCACAATTTTCTTAATGACTCCATATGCGCAATATTCTTTGATATTAAGAAAGAAACTTGAAATATTAGTTGGCAAATACTCAATTAGTGCGAAGTCAATAATAAAATCTTTAACTTTGGACATGTCCTCGATATTGTGAACTCTTCTTACAGGTAATATATCCGACATTTGCTCCATTTTTGTTACATAGCAATCGTTGTTCGTACTTTTTATACCTTCATTGCAAAACAATTCTATTTCCTTCACTTTACATCCATTCAAATCAGAATCTAATTGTTTATTTTCGAAATTTTGTCCTATTTTTGCTATACAAGGATTATGAGCTAGTCTAATTATTCTACTCGTGTCAAACATCTCAAAAGTCTCGATGGATATTCGTTTTATATTGTTATCAGAAAAATCCACAAAAAACATTTTTTTATTCTGCTCGAAAAGTGTATTAGGAATTTCAGTCAATTGATTGTGGGACATGTCCACAATCATGAGATTTTGTAACCCATGAAAACTATCCTCATAAAGATATCTCAGTTTAGAATGTGTAATCTTAATTGTCTTCAAGTTTGGTAAATGATAGCTAATATATTTTCCTACTAGTCTACTATTGTCATATTTGACAGTTATAACTTCCACATCGGAATTGGACTTTCCTGCTAAATGCTTTCCGAATACACCATTGAATTTTTCAAATATTCCAAGTTCTTCAAATTTCTCATTCAAAAGAGCAGCAAAGAATTTATTCCCATAAATTATATCAGAATTATCAATTTTTCTTCTCACAATATCGCAGTAGTAAGTATATCCAATGTATCGGAAATTTGACGTTGAATATTTGCACAAAATGTAGTCATTAAGTTTGCATTTCTCCTGAATATTGCTGATAAAAATTTCTAGATTCGATGAACTTTTACTTCCAGCTCCATCGATACATGAAGTACTTAAAAGAGTCAAAGTATGAAGATTTGGTAATATTAAAAATGAAACATATCCAATGCTTTCAATTTTGTTGTATGAAAGATCAACAACCTCAATGTTTTTATTAAAAATAAATGTGTTACTTGGCAACGATTTAATCAGATTGTACGGCATCCTTAAAACTTTTAAACGTTCAAAATTTCGAATTTCATCTATTGAAATCTTTGAAATCAAACTTCCAACTATTTCCAGCTCCTCTAGATTTTTGAACTCTTTACAAATTATTTTTGGAATTTCTGTAAAGTTTAGTGAAGTCGAGGAAATCTTTTTTACAACTCTGTTCACACGCAGATCCTCATATAGTCTCTTAGAAGTGTATCTAATCTTTGTCTTCTTAATTCCTTCATATTCCATTCCTTCCTCAATTGTTGCAATGTAATTGTCATTAACTTTTTTATAACTACAAAAAATTTCATTTGGAAATAAGCAGCTCTTGTGAAATTTTGAAGCAAATGGATAGTCTGCAGAAAAATCAAAATCTCTATCCATGCAATCGTTATTGCGAAAATCAGCATATTCAGTTGATTTTTTGACAAGAGAATTTTTATCTAAATGCTTCAATTTATTATTGGAAAAATCCATAACAAAAATTATTACATGCCTTGAAAACAGATCTGGATTTAATGTAACGAGTTCATTATTAGCTGCCCAAATGAATTTCAGACGTGGAAATTCCTTTAAATTGTCCATAGATAGTTCAAATAATTTGATGTCATTTATCATAAGAAAACTAATTGTTGGCATAAAGTTTTTAATTCCAGTCGGTAAATAATTCACGGTGCTGTTTTTAATAGCCAACATTTTAACTTTTTCATTCGTAAAATTCTCTACATGATTTCCAATAAAAGACTCGACAATTTCATCTTTGGATGTTATTGTGATGTTCCAGCATGTACATCGATAAAATACTAGGCTCTTGTAAAAATCGAGTCTATCTTGATAGTTTTTTTCTATAAATGTGTCAAGTCCTTTAAAATATTCCGTATCCTTAACAATGTCAAAAGTACAATGTAGATTTACTGAATAAATTTCAAAGAATTGATTAAATAATAAAATAAGTAGCACAGTATTCATGATTTAACTAAGAAACTTATTATCAGTAAGGCTGAATTGACACTGAAATAAATGAACAAATTTTTCAAATTATTTATTATTGCTCATAGTCATGATCTCTCAAACGACCTTTGATAACACTTATTACTCAAAATAAAAATTTTACAATGAATTTGAGCACTCATTTATGCATGTCTCAGCTGAATTGATATAAATTTTCAAGAGTTTGTAGTATACCTATATCAAATTTGGACAATATTGAGAGTGAAAATTAAGACTATTAAAATCAGTGTCGTACAAAATTCAAAAGATTTTATAATGCTAGTTCATATCAATAATTCACGACAAAATTAATGTGTTTGCTTACAAGTGTGAAAATTTATAAATGTTTTTCCAATTTAACACCGCATGACAAATTAAACGTCCCATAAAAACAAAATTCTATCCACTTCATGACACTAAATTTTCATATTTTACGATCTATCTCACCACGATTATTTTAATCTTTATTTTTTCCACAGTCGTAAGTTAAAAACTGTACTGAGTGAGTTTCCTCATCTCGTAAACATTTCTCATTCTTTACTCTTCTTCTCCTGCAGTGTGAGTCACAATCATAAATGAAAATGAAAATCACCTGATGGCATTTTTAAATTATTTTATATGCCTCTAAACATTGTCGAATTGACTACATTGAGCATTGTTGTCTTTTAAAATTTTTGTTCTCTGCTCAGTTGTTGTATCCACGTATGTGAAAGAAATGAAAAGAGATTGCAGACAGAATCTCCGCAGGGGTTTATGGCGCCTTACATGATTCCACATTATTGCTCATTTCTCGTGGTGTCTTTTTTGTATTCATTCTTTTCATTCATTCTATTGCTTTTTTGATACTTAAAAATCAAAAATTTTCAAATGACAATTTTTTATTCCTTTTAATTTGTTTTTTGTTGTCAGTGAAAATATTTACATCGTATCTTTAATTAATTTTTTTGATGCACAATTAAAGTGATTAACACAAAAGATGTATGCTGATATAATAAATGATAAATTTACTTACCATTATTTTTGATTGCTCTGCAAATGAATTGAGTCTTAATGGATAGAATATTGTGGATTCAGAAGTTTTCAGGATTTTATGTAATTCTTTGAATTCGAGATTTATCTTGGGTTATTTGTTCAAAACCTTTCTTTATATAAACTTTTTAAATAAACTAGTTTAATCAAGTTTAATATTATTATTGAGGTTTAAGACTACACTAAACTCATGCTTGAAAGTAAATAGCATTTTTATATGTAAAACGAAATCAAACATATGTTTACAGTCACTCAATAAATTTAACTTAAAGTGCACACAAATTAAGGCTTTAAATAATATTTTTAATTTCATGGCAAGAAATCTATTTTTAGTTCTTACAAGTGAGTTGTAAAGGAAGCAATGAAAATAATTTAGAGCACTAATATTGATTAGCTTTATGTTAATTTTTATTTCACTCAAGTCTCTTGAGATCCATTTACGCTTTCCATAAAACAATTTAACATCTTAAGTAACTTTAATTTGATGAATATTTTCTCATCTTTCCGTTTTTCCTTTTAATGTAAATTTATTTATCTCTGAAACGACAGTGCACTACAACGCGATGATATTTCATGTGGCGTAACAATTTCCTCTTTAAACGTAACTTGACAAACGACAGATGCTGTATATAATGATAATGATATTGCTAAGCAATTGTTAAAGGTATCATCACCACTTAAGATTGTCATCATTCAAACTCTTTTCATTTGTTTTGGATTTTCAAAATTTTAAATTTTTTTTTTCTCTTAAAGGAAAATATAAAGAAAAAAGACATCGATACTGACAACAGGTGCAACTTCTATAAATAATTTTTTCGAAAAATTTCTGTCTCATCCAAGGTTCATTATATAGGCTATAAAAATTGTCACCCATTATCTTAAATGTTATTGGAGAAAAATGTTTATTATAATGTGGATAGGCTGGCAATAACGTAATATTTTATGGGCTTGTTTGACGTTTGTTCTCTTTGTAAAGCAGACAAATCTTTCAAATTTTTCTGATAGTCATGAATTTATTTGTTACAAAATTGAATATTTCATTACTTACAACTTTATTAAACTTCAAATGAATATTTAAATAAAAATGTGAAATCCAGATTCACTTATGACATCCAGGGTGAATTGGGGGGGGGGGGGGTGTCAAACAGAAAAGAACGATAGAAATTCCTGGAAATCCATTGTTTTTTTTGAAAAATGTTCGAATACCGCTGACATTCATAAAAAGCTTAAAAAATAGGTACTTCTAAATATTTGATTGTTATCGCAAAAGAAGTGAATAACAAAAGTATTATTAATCATACAATATTGCTACGAAATTTTACTCAAAAGAAGCATTCTTTCTCTATTGAAATTTTGAGATAATATTATAAAATTATTAAAAATATGAAAACAAATAAAATGTACTGGGGGTCCTCGATTTGAGTAGATTCTATTTGAGTAGATTCGATTTGAACAGAAAATTTTTTACCCACCAAAATATTCGATTTGAGTGGATTTCTTCCTGTTTTCTTCGATTTGAATTGTTTACAAAACAAATATTTTTGATAAAAACATTTCAGAAAATATTTTTAAACATAAATTTTTCTGCCATAAGTGTGAACTTATCATATTGATCGAAAAATCAATACTAAAGTTACAAAATTAAAGTAAAAATTTAAAAAATCGATATAAAATTAACGGTTTTAAAAAGTTCAAATTTAAAAACCCTACAAATTGTTCGGTTAAATAACATTTGCAAGGTTCTCATATTTTTGTTTTGCTTCAAAAACATATTTTTTGTGAATTTCTGTTTAAAAACAATATGAATATGCGTTGAAATAAATTAAGTTATCTAAAACACATAGGTAAAATTAAGAAAATAGGTAAAATGTGCAAAAAATTATCAAAATTTTCATTGTTTTGATACATTTTTTGGACTCTGGAACAAAACATGTGATTTTGTATGGATTCTTTGCCTCGATTTGAATAGATTCGATTTGAGTAGAAATTTTTTGGAACAAAACAACTACTCAAATCGAGGACCCCCAGTAACAAGAACATTAAAAGGAATTTTAAATATATTCACAAAAATTGAAAATTTTGTGTGAATATGATTTCATACTTTAAAGCTCACTATAACAAGACAAAGAAGAAAAAAAATTGTCCCAAGGGGTTCCACTATCTTTCCTCTGTTTATTGCCTTCTGTTGGCTGCTCGTTTCATGGTTTAATTGAATATTTTTATAATGAAGGCATGATCAACTTCTTTCTGTCGAATTTTCTACCTTGTTGGTTCGTTGTCTTCTTTTTAGCCTTATGAATATTTTATTATTAAAACACATCTTAAAATTGGCTTGTTAATTTTTTATTTATTCCCTTCTTGTATGCCACAAATGTCTTTTTGTACGAGAAACAAAAATAAAAAAATGAAAAAAAAAATATTTTTGTCGAAGACTTTATAAAACATGTGAAAAGAAATTGAAAGAGAAAGAAGAAAAACGTCCAAATGAATAAGAATTGGTAACATAATTTAAATAAAAATGTTCTTCTTAGGTCGCTTTTTTGGGGAACAGAACAAAATATTATAATATTTATTGATATTTAAAACAAATAAATTAGAAACAAACTTATTGATTTGATTTATTCAATTTTCGTTATTTTGTTTTCATTCATGTTAACTGGCCTTTCAACGACTGATAATGACGACATACAATGTGCCTTGTTTTATCAACAGAATCTTTCTCATTTTTAAGGAAGGGAATTAATGACAGCAGATGACAGTTTTGTTAACGGACGTACATCAGTGAAGAAAGAGGAAAATTTGTCATCATAAAAATATTTCTTTGTGAGAGCCACCCAATAGCAATTCATATACACTTCAAAAAGTATATATTTAAACGTGCGTTAAACTGTCTTAAAATATATAAACGAGAAATATTACTTTTATGTCTTAATTGTGTCTCATATCACAATGAAAGTTTCAATTCTTCTTCTTTATGACATAAAATTTCACATATCTTTAACTTTATGAGCTCACAAGATTCTCCTTTCCTCATAATTTGCCTTTACTCTTTCGTATAAACTTTTTTAAGATCTTATGATGAATAATTTTACGACCCTCGAAATCGAGACTATGCGAGATGAGAAAAAAAAGTTAAAAACACATCATAAAAACGTTCTTTGAACAAGCAGCAATTTAGATAAAGAAAATCATTTTGAATTGATTTCTTATTTTACAAATTTCTTTTGATGTTAGGCATAAATTAATAATGAAATTTGAGTCTGAAATGATCGTTTTGCTTATTAGCAAAATGATATACAATTATTAAAGATAGCAACTATTTTATTACCATTGATCTAAGCTTTGACAAAGAATACACTTTAAAAAGTTTACAAACAAATTTTCGTCTAGCTCTCAAATGGTATATTACAATGTCTAAGGGTATGTCTTGGAGAAAGGCTGTCAGTGTTAAAGACAGTGTTGCATGACAGGCGATAGATCTAGCTTTAGGTGAAGACTAAAGAAGGTCACGGATCACAACTGACGTATCTGGACTTCCCAGATTTATATTTTCAAGTAAAGACAATTTTTTGAATCTATGAAGGGAACGTTTGCTTATTTAGGGGAGGGGGAGGGGGGTCAGGATTGCAGGGTCAGTTTTGCAACAAGGAAATCAATATTTTTTGATATAATGAAAATTTTGATTTGACGTCACAAGATGGGGGGGGGGTGGCTGGCATCTGTGACACTTGAGAAAGTTTTGAGACAAATTGGGGTGGAAGTCTAAAAATCGTGCTTTTTATGGATGTCATAAGAATAACCCTTAAGATCCTTTAACTTCTTTTTTTACATTTTTTAAAACAAATTAAATTTGATCATCTTAAAATTTTTGAAGTAGATCTTAAAAACCTCTGAATATTTTGATTATTTAAACACTTCATACATTTATGCTAATTCTTATCATTCAAAGCTTAAATCTCTTAATTTTCAAAACTTTTAAATTTTTAAAAGTATTTCAATTGCCAGTTTATCTTAATTGCTGTAATTTAAGCATAAAGAACTTTTAACAGAATACAAGAAAAGAAAAGAAAATTTGCAAATTGTTTTACTATCTAATTAATACAGAAATATGATGACACGTCTATTCTCAGGGTATTAAAGATAAAATAAAATTTTAATGATATTCTCGTGTGACAAAAAAAATCATTCTATTATAAAACTTTTTTGCTTTTATTTCTCTTTTTTTTCACAAAAAGAGCTAGACAAAAATTTTATGGCTGGATAATCATCAAAAAGTCGTAAAACGATACTCAAAAGATGTACACAATCAGAAGAGAACGGAAAAAATTTATATTATCAATGAATAAGAAGAAAAATTCTCAGCAGCACATAAAGCATGCGTTTTACGATCAAATTGAACATTATCCATTACTTTATGAGACATGTGTTTTGTTTATCAAGTATCGATAATGTTTGCTACTATTTGTGGTGATAAAATTGGAAATAAAAATATTAAAAAGATAAACATAAAAACTGTTGTTAAATTCCTTAAATACCTATTGCTGATTACATTTCCATTCTTAATTTTATCTTTAAACTTGAGACTTCATAATCATCTTGAATAAAAAATTCACACACCTTGATCATGGCATGAAAAGGATTACACATTACGCTATAATGAACACACTTATTATTTAATGAAAATCAAGAGAAATTGTTCTCATTCAATGTGCCGCAAAAGAACTACATTAAATACAATAATGGACTTCATTCTTATACTTATCTCCTTTCTTCTTATTGTTGTTGCAATTCAAATAAAAAGGCCCTCCATGCAATACAACAGAAAGAAGAAAAATAATAATATCCATATGGCCTACCTGAATGAATGATCCGGATCAACAATTTAAGGATCCATTAAATGTGTGTTAATAATACTTAGTGTAAAGTATCGGAAATAAAAAAGGAACAATAGCTACTTCTTATTTTATATTTATTTTTGACTGAATGAATAATACACAAGAAATATGGGCGGAGATTATTAGGACGGAAAGTGTAAATACACATCAAGTAGTAACATGCCGCATTATACAAACACATCTTTGCGATCCATGAAGGAAAATATTTCATAAACTATATAATGTGCACGAATTGAAACCAGTTTCAATACATTTACAACGCTTCACTAATACATCTATAAACATGTGATTATATTGAGGAATAAAAGTATATCAACAAAAATAAAATGCGTATGCATACACGATCTAAATGTATCCACTTGTGAGTTAAGAATATTTTCAGTTCCTTCTGATATTTCAATCGAATTGCATCGTCATTCATTATTCTCCGTCATAAATTTTTGAAAAGCTTTCCTTTTTGGCTCGCGTGCGATTTGATACATAAAAAAAAAAACATTTCTCTAGAAATTCGGTAACCTGGAAAAGTATGGAAAGAAAATAAAGTTCAACATTGCATGTCACCATTAGTCTTCAGCATTTATTTGTGATAAGGAAATTAAAAGAAAGGAAAAAAGTAAAATTTATCGATTTTTAAAACAAATAAACAAGGAAAATAATTTTCGCGAAGGGAAAAGTGAATGAAAAAATTCGTGCCAATGAAATAAATTTTCAGAAAAATAAAATAAATTGAAAGTCTGACAAAAGATTCAAGAGTGTATTTCTTAAATATAAATACAATTTAATTTTTAATTTGACAGAAAGGAATAAAAAATATCAATTTAGTGAAATTTATTGATTTTAAAATCAGAGAAGAAGTTACCAAGAATTTTTTACTCACTGAAAAAAAATCAAGGAATAAAAAAGTGCAAAAATTTACCAAAAGATTTTATCAAAATTGCCGACCTAATTTTTTAAAATAATGAAAATGTTAGTTCCACCAGAAATGCACGCGACACAATCGAAAATGATTTATCAAATGAATAAATACTGTACAGATCGTGTTCAGACGCGTAAGTTGCAAATACACAAGACCATAATTGAAGTGTGTCGTGTTGTGCAAGATGTTTTAAAAGAAGTTGAAGTACAAGAACCTCGTTTCATATCATCATTAAATGATTATAATGGCCGATACGAAGGATTGGAAGTTGTTTCACCGACGGAATTTGAAATTATCATTTATCTTAATCAAATGGGAGTTTTAAATTTTGTCGACGATGGCACTCTGCCTGGATGTGCTGTCCTTAAGCTTAGTGATGGACGAAAACGATCAATGTCATTGTGGGTTGAATTTATCACTGCATCCGGTTATCTCTCAGCTAGAAAAATTCGATCACGTTTTCAAACACTCGTTGCTCAGGCTGTTGATAAATGTGCATATCGCGATTGTGTTAAAATGATTGCAGATACAACAGAAGTAAAATTAAGAATAAGAGAAAGACTGATTGTACAGATTACTCCAGCATTTAAATGTGCCGGATTATGGCCTAGATCAGCTGCACATTGGCCATTACCACAAATTCCATGGCCTCATCCAAATATCGTTGCAGAAGTTAAGACTGAAGGATTTGATATGCTGTCAAAAGAATGTGTAGCACTTCAAGGCAAAAATAGTGCTATGGAAGGAGATGCTTGGGTCTTGTCATTCAATGAAGCAGAAAATCGATTGCTACAAGGTAAGACTGAGTACACCAATTGGTGCCAATCAGACTGTGACATGCTTCACAATTTTTATTATTACATTGTAGCTTATTTGTTTCATTTTTTCTTACATTCTCAGGTGGATTTCGCAAGCGATGTTTAAGTATATTAAAAACACTCAGGGATAGACATCTTGATTTACCTGGAAATCCCGTCACAACGTATGTAATGAAAACTCTCTTATTATATGAATGTGAAAAGCATCCACGTGAAATGGAATGGGATGAAAGTTCCATTGGTGATCGAATTAATGGCATATTCCTTCAACTTATCTCATGCTTACAATGTCGTCGCTGTCCACACTACTTCCTTCCTAATATGGATTTATTCAAAGGAAAATCACCCGGTGCTCTTGAAAATGCCTCCAAGCAAGTATGGAGATTAACAAGAATCATGCTAACTAGCTCAAGATGTCTTGAGGAATTATAAAGAAGAACCCGAAAAGAGAAAAAAAAATATTTTGTGAATAGTAAAAATTTTGTTAAGTGAGACATCATGGGAAATATTAAATAGATAAAAGGGATTAAAAAATCATTAAGTGATGAAAATGAGTGTGAAATCAAATTCAGACCCTCACAGATTGGATGGAATATAGTGAAAATGAAAATAATTTTTCGGATTAACATGAAATTATTTTTTGTGATTTTAATATTTAATAATTTATGACAAAATCATAGTGTAAGTGATTATAAAGCTATTTATACTAGATCTATATAAATTTTATGAAACAAAAAAAAGGTCCATGCTCAAAATTCAAAATAAATTGTACTGCATCTCGAGTTATGTGCCAAAACCCCTGCATTGCGTTTTCTTGAAATTTTGCAGTCAGAAAAATACACAAAAATACTTGCAGGATTCTTTCCAAATAAATGAAGAAAAAGCTAAACGTAAATATTTAATTAAACACGAAAACTTCTTCAATCTCTTCTTATTTCTCTCTCCACTCACTTCATTCTGCTTCTCAATTTTTTGTTGTTTTATATGTTGATAGAAACCACCTATAATTAAAGTTAATTTTTCTATCAACAACTTTTCTCTGCTTTAACAAACAAACAGTTCAGAACTTTCTTCTTCTTGAATTTACGTTTTTTGTAAGGAACGTGAATTTTGTACATAAAAAAATTCACCGTCGGTTTTTACTTCTCTCCTTTTTGCATTTTTATTTTTTTTCATTCAATTGTTTCTTAAGAATATTTTTTAAATTTGAAACTGAATACGTATGAAAGAATGAAAAAGGAATTTATGAGCGTCCCCAAAAAACGGTAAAATTTTTCATTTCATTTTTAAAAAAATTTCCAAACTATAAATTATGTTTCGCTTATTTTCGACATTTCATTCTCAATTGTTCTATTCGCTTGAATATTTCTTGTTTATTTTTATTTTTTTGGAAGTAAAGACGAGGAGAAAAAGGAATTTTCAATGAAAAAAAAAGAGTATTCGAGCAAAAGGTATAAAAACAATGAACAAATGGTCTGTTCATCTTATAAAAAAATATTATTCAGCACAAAAGGATCAAATAACATCCGCCAACTAAACATTATTCTTCTTAAATAAATTTAATATATTTTACCTCTACTTGCGATCGCGATCAATTCATTCGACATTCTTTCTGCTGTCTTTTAACATTCAATATTTTGCAATGAATGCAAGCGTAAAAAGATATCTTCTGAAGAGGTTTAGATGTGACCGAATAGATGGAGAAAAGGGATGATAACTTGAAGTTTTAAATATATCTGAACAGATGCTTTGGCAATTAGTTTGTATTAATTGTAGACTCGATTTGTAAAATATAAGAGTCTTTTCGTTTTGAGAACAAAACGCAATAACACCAAAATAGAGTTTGTGTCATTTATGACCAAATTTTGGTAAGTTGATTCGCATATCTTTATGAATTAGTCACGTAAAAAACAAACAAACGAAATATTTCACCACAATATCTCTTCTCAAGTCCAAAATAAGAATGCAATATTTCTCATGTGAGAGACGAGGAGAAAACAGAGACATGAGATACTTTTAAAGTTAAAAGAAATATATGTGCTTGTAGATAAAAGTCAAAATTTATTGAATGTGATCGCGAGATGACAATTTTTATTGCAAAATTTATGCATTTAAAATGCATTAAAAGATAGCCATTTTTCAGCTTACGAAAAAAGGCATTGAAAGTTGGACATGCATTAAAATAATTCTCTTTTAGAGTCGCTTTTGAAAGAACTTCTGGTTTGATAACTTTTTTAATACACAGAAAATGTTTTATATGCAAATTGCTAAATTGATAAGGCACAATGTTGATTAATTGCCTTTTTAAATTGATTCGAAATTCTTTAAGTGGAACCTGATTTTTTTTAAGTTGAGAATATTTTCGTGAGATAATTTTTGAAACCTTAAATAGGAGAATGTTGTAGACGATCTTGAATATTTAATCATGCCTGTTAAATAAAAGGTTTTCTATGCTTTAAATACGACGTGTAATAATTTTAAAGATCCCGTTCCTAAATCTTTGCAACTTTTAACCGTTAATATGACAAAAAATATTTCTGGATCGTAAATCTGATAGGACACGTCTTAACTTATTCCATGCTCATACTTCCTCATAAATTTTCTTCCATGTTTTATTCCATAAAACGCTATCATGCTTTTGTTCATGCGCAAAAAATCCCATACACACAATTTAATGTCTATTTATTCAATAAAATTTTTTTGCCTTAATCCAAATATTTGCACAATAGATTTTCTATGCACAAAAACTTATCGAAAAAACCGCAAAATTGTTTAAAAATAATTTCCAGATTAGACATGCATGAGAAAATGAAATTTTAAATGTTTAAACTCGCAAATGCCATACCCATTTATTTGAGTTAGAAAATATCAAACAGCAGAATTTAATGTCTATCAAGAGTGAAGCTCTGTTAGAGCCAATTAAGTGTTAAAAATATTCTTGATATTTTGTGCGGAATTGAAACATGATATATACAAGACGTACAGAAGAGCGCATATTTATATAGAAATAGAATTACTTCTTTACACATGATGAGAATGAAGCGATAAAGTGTTAAGCAAAAAAAATTGGGTTAGGAAACGAAACTGCCAAAAAAAAAACATGTCAAGGACGTAAACAAAGTAAGAAGAAGCACATTCGTTTCCATAATATTTCCACTACCGATTTAAATTCTTTTCTGAAAGTTTCGCCATATTTTAGTACTCAATATGCTCAACGCGCATCAACATTACTTACATTATAGAGTACATAAGAATGGAAATCAAGATTTCACCATCACGTTTTTCATGTTTCTGGCGCTGCCAATGTGTATCGATGTCAAATTCGATATGGCAAAATTACCAATTAATTGTTTTGTTGCATTTTCGTGCGGTGCTTTTTTCTATAGTGGCGGTGCATTATTGAAGAAAATGCTGTGTTTTATCCCTTTCCTTTCGTTACTTTGTTTATGTATTTCACGAGCTTATGCTCTTGTTTCTTTATCTGTGATTATTGAAACGTAATTGACTTGTTTCGCTCCTCTCTTTCTATGAGCTGGTTAATGTCATGTTTATACAACTTTATAGTGTCTTTGTTTTACAATCTTGTTATTTGATGCACATTTTCTCTTTCTTATTATCGACTATTTAATGTCCGTGATTTTAATCTTCTTCATTTTATGAAAATAAGTGAGACGAAAGAAGTGGAAGAAAAAAATTAACAAAATAATTAGCTGAAAAGAATTGTGTTACAAAGAATGTTCAACACCCCACACTTATGCATGTGTTTTTTGTTATTCATTCCTTTTAACCATTATACTTAAAAGTCTATGACTCTTGAGACTCGAATAAGATAAAAACTTGAATAAGCTCTTATGAATAATTGCTCATTTTTTTATCTTAATTTTTTTTTGATTCATTTTCTCACCTCTGAAAGTGTTTCATAGACAAGCACCGAGAGAAAATGATCAAATGGAAGTCAATCTTTAATTTTGATTCCTCTCAGTGTATTTTTAAAAAGACAAATTGTACACTTTACTTTAAAACAAACAAAAAAGTAAAAAGTAAGATAAGAGTGTGGTAAAAGAAGCACATTAATATCGTTTTAGCCAGACGAGTGGTCATAACCGTTAAATTTTATTGTAATTGATTTGAATACATAAAAGAAATATTTAATGCACACTTTTGGTTGTTTATTTGTAATATTTCTTCTTTATATCAACAATATTGCAAAATGTGCGAATTGAAATAAAGGCATGGATCTGCATTTTTTAGGAACAGGGAAGAAATGTAGTTATTGACAATCCTTAATTGCTTTTGTCACATTTCATTAAAATATTAAATTCACAAATTAGCAGACACCTTCAGTATCGTACTTTTGGATAGTGTGTCTGTTTTCTTTTGTGGTGTTAATTGAATTTTTATTTTATTGACGCAAAATGTTTTCGAGGAAACCTTATTTTATTTCGTTGTTTGTTGTTCATTAGTTGGTTGAGAGAAACGCCGTACAATTTATTATTAATTAATTTCATTTAGCTTCTACCTTAAGCATAATATACACAGACTCTGTTAATTGAATCTTTATCAATGAAATGCATTAAGATGATGCGAGGGAAAAAAAATATTTTTAGACTAAATTATGGGAATATTAATATATTTAAGCCAATCTGCTAGATGGAGGTTTATGACTCTTACATGATAATATTAATTTTATACTTTGCAATTAAGAAACCAGATGCAAATTAAATTTTTCTTATTATCTTGTAATCACTGTGATTAGTCTAAATGTAAATAAAATTAGCATTTAATTTATGTATTTAAAGCATCATTACATGCACAATTATTTTTATTATTCTTTAAATTAACCGCAAGATTGTATAATATTTATATTGTAACTGAGCACGAAAATTGCAATTAAAAATTGAATAAACAGAATTATCACGACTAGTTTCACATAAAAAAAGAGCTGCTAGATCTTACAAATTATTGTATAGTTTTAAAGATTAATTTGTTCAATATACTGCAGCAATTTTAATGAAATTTTCAATATTTTGTGAAACATGATCCAATAATTGAAATTATTATAAATAATTCAAGACACTCTAGATACCACGCTCGTTTATATTTAATATGGAAAATTTCTTACTTAATAATTTATTCAAATTTTTATACAAAATTAAAAAAATCTCCTTAAATTGTAGCTATTATATACAATAACTATATTCCTTTAAATTAATAAATTAAACTTGAATAGCTGTACATAAAATTGCACTTTTGTAAAACTTGATTTAAAAAAGAAAATTTTCAGAAAAATAAAATACCCAATAAAAAATTTGTTATTAAATGAAAATTTAAAATGCCTTTTATTTCTCTTCCTCAAAGCTATAAATATATATATATTTGTTTTAATAGGTGAGCTATAAATTCAAGATGATTTCTTATTAAAAAAAAAAGGCCCCAACATTGTATAATATTACATACTCTATAAATTATCTAAGGCTTTACTATATATTACAAGTGTCAAGTTTCACATGAGATAAACGAAAGAGCATTCTACGATAGATTTTAAGTTTATCATTTGATTAGCATTTCTAAAACAATCTTTTTACTCAAGATTCCACAAAAATTTACATTTTCCAAAAATTTGCATTATCTTTTACAGTAAGAGGTTTAATTGAGGATTGATTCTTGTTTGGCTGGATATCTGATATCTTGAACAGTTGTATTCGTTTTGATTTTTAAACTTAATATTTTATAATCTTTATGAATAAAGATGAAACTTAAGAAATTCGCAAGATTATTAGCTACTCATTTGAAATTTTTCTTGAGATTTGTTGTTTCAATTATGTAGAACATATAAAACAACCAGTCTGTGACATTCCTCACAACTTATAAATGTATTTTGTTAGAAGTTTAATTAAAGATGGCAATTCTTTCTGCTGATGAAAAATAATTGTTAATAATAGAATGAGTAAAAAAATGCCATGTGGCCAATGATAAAAGACTGTACATAGCAAATAAATCTATTTATAAAAGATATTTACGAAGATATAAATATGAGCTGCTTTGTATTCCACCATTGTAATCGTCAATAACACATGTTTCATGCTTTTAATTCATTTTGTGACAGCGACGATGAAATTTCTTGTGAAATAAAAGAATAAGAAAAATTCTTTATGATTGTTATCATGAATTTATGAATTATTTTATATTTGTACGTATACACAATATATAAAAGGGCATGAAGAATGACAAGACAACGAATAGTGTGCGGAATTCTTAAAATGACGGCGAAATTTTTTATGATGTTTAAGAATTTTTCCTGCAATTGATGCTCCAATTTGTACAATAAGGTAAATTGTTTCTGTGATGTCTTCATATTTAATGAATTTCTTAATTGTTGTAGGAACAATAAAATTTTATTAAGGTTAATTAGTTGAATATTCTTTTTTTCTATAATAAAACTTTCTAATTCTATAGAATTTAAACTTGCGGAATTGTTTGATTCACACATACGAATAAAATTCACATTAAATGCTTTTTACATTGAATATCAAGTTCTTATGCACTAATATTTTATTCAAACAACGTTCTAAGTTTTATAAATATCATTGAAATTCTAGAAGCATTTTTGGGAGTTTTAAACTGCAATCTAATCGGCATGTTTTGTCGAATGGTTTAAAAACAGCACTTAAAATTCTAGACAAATCTACATCAGTTTTCAATGAATCATAATACATCCCGATGACTATAAAACAAATAATTGCGACAATAAAAGAACTTCTCTCACACTTGAGTAAAGATCATTTTGTGGTCGTTTCGATGATAAATCACGTTTGTGAATTTCCAGCTAAAAGGTACATTTTATATGCTTTAATTCCTGATAAATGATGTGAACGTGACGCTGATGTTGGACATGTTTATTCTTCTCACACACATTTTTGAATATTTATTTTCGCACAAAAAGAGGATAATGTGATACTTGCAGACTGGTTGGTTGGTCGAGTTATATAAAAGAAAGACATACTCGATCTACATGAAGGCACATTGAATTTATGGCAGTTTGGATATTATTTTATTCTTAAAAATTCCTCCATTCGCACTCATTTCTGTAGTTTGTTCTCTTCTTATGAATAATCATCGCTAGTGCAAATTTTTTTAGTCTTGCATAAAGAAGTTTATCCAACACACATAAATTGTATGAAAATTACTTCATTAATTTAAAATGCCGCATCGCATTGGTAGCTTTATTTTTCAATTATTAATTTAATTAATTAATGAATGAATAAATTTCTTGGGAAACTAGACAGAATCAGGTTCATGAAGTTTCGCAATTTATTTAGACTAAGTTTCCATTTGGTTTAATTTTTGAGCGTGTTTTTCGACATTCTAGTCATTTTTCTAAGTTCTCAACGTCTACTTATTCTGGTAAAGTTGTTTTTATAACTTTCATAAAAGCAAATGTCGGCTTTGCAATTCACAAAATGAAGAAAAAAATAAGAAATTGACTTGAGAAAACATTAATAAAATTGTGTAATAAATTATAGACTGCAAGTATGCTCTAAGAAAAGTGGAAGCTTTACGCTTGGATGAAGAAAATCGATATTCAGAACCCTCTTGCACACATCTACAAAATATTCTCTTTATCATGCTTAAAGTTTTTTTTTGTACGAAGGAATAATCAAATTAACATCGATTTCTCTTTCTTGCTTCCTCTTATTTCTCCCCTTTGACATTACAACAACCCCAAAAACCAAAATTCCTCTGGATTTTGAAATGCGCATGGACAAAAAAAAGGTTTATGGAGTAAATTTGGATGGCACTAAACACGGGAGAAATGCTACATTTTTTTCAGCCATCGTTGTATTAAATTCATAGGAGATTAAGGTGTAATTGATGAGGTTCTTAAATTAATTAATCACACTCATTTAAATTTGCAGCAACAGAAGTGAAGATTAAAAGTCTTATGTTAATTTTGAGACATTTATTTGAGAATTTGTGTTTTTTCTTCCTTTAAATAATTTATTTACTTTATTTTGATTCCATTCATGAATGAAAAAATTTGTAGGTTTCATAATTTTTAAATTGCAAATACCTATTATTTCCTCTCTACAGTTGATAATATATTTTTAAAAAGACTAGACTAGCGTAATATTAATGAACTTTTGTCGTATAATTTTGTTTTGTTGTCGTATACATGCAAAATAATCAATACTTATTCTTCTTAGTTATCATATCTTATGAATAATTCAACGTATACACTAACTCAGCATCTCTCTGCTGTTTTAATACTCACTATACCTCTACGTTACTTTTTAAGCCTATTTTAACATAACTTTAAATCAAAAAATTCAAATTAAAGCGAAACAAAGTATAATCACATGAAATTTTAATTTTTGTCGTAGGGATGAAAAGCTTCAATTTCCTGCAAACTTATTTAAATTGACCCAATCAGCATATCCTTTTTTAAAGTTTGAACTAAAATTCTGTTTATAATTTTTCTAAAGCTCTCGTACTTGTCAACATTTCTCGTGACAATCGCCATACATGTTTCGATGCATTTTCTAAGGATGTCGGTGATTTACCTTTAAAAAGATCTAAACTTGGTAGGAAATAATGTGGACAGCGACGACATTGCAAACAAGAAATGAGCTGAAGAAAGATTCCATTGATTCGATCACCCAAGCAATTTTCATCCCATTCCATTTCTCGTGGATGTTTTTCACATTCATATAGTAAAAGAGTTTTTAAATGATAGGCTGTAATGGGATTGCCTGGCAAGTCAAGATGACGATCTCGAAGAGTTTTTAAGATACTTAAACAGCGTTTTCTGTAGGCGCCCTGAAGTAAACGATTCTCAGCTTCATTGAATGATAAAATCTACAAAAAAAAAAATTACTGTTTATGAAAAAAATTGCATTTTAAAAATTTAAACTGTTCCATTTACCCAGCTATCGCCTTCCATATTCGCATTTTTTCCTTGAAAAATTACACTTTCTTTCGACAGAAGATCAAAACCTTCCATTTTAACCTCTAAAAATTGAAAGAGTTAATTAATTTTGAACAAACTTTTAAGTCAAAACAAATTTACCAGCAACAAGATTTGGATGTGGCCATGGAATATTCATAATAGGCCAGTGTGATGCAGATCGGGGCCATATACCTGAACATTTAAATGCTGGTGTAATTTGCACAACATAACGCTCGCGAATTCTTAATTTAACATCAGACGTATCGGCAACCATCTTAACCAAATCACGATATTCACATTTATCGCATGCTTGTGCGACGAGTGTCTGAAAACGAGATCGAATTTTTCGTGCTGAAAGGTAGCCAGATGCTGTAATGAATTCAACCCATAGTGACATTGATCGTTTTCGTCCATCACTGAGTTTTAAGACAGCACATCCAGGCAAAGTTCCATCATCAACAAAATTAAAGACACCCATTTGATTGAGATATAAAACAATTTCAAATTCATTTGGCGATACCACGTCGATTCCTTCATATCTGAAATATGTACGACTTTGAGTGAGTTAAGCGAATCTAAACAATAATTAAAGTTCCTTATTTCGCTTTTATTACCTGCCATTGCATTCAGATAAGCTAGAAATGAATCTCGGTTCCTGCACTTCAACTTCCCTTAAGATGTCCTGCACAATTTGGCAAATTTCTCTGATTGTTTTATCAATAATTGACATTCGCGTTTGAACTCGCTCGACATAATACTTGTTAATTTGATAAATTATTTTCGATTGTTCTTCAATCATATGCGGTGGAACGAGCATTTTTGTTTGTTTATTTCACCGATTGTGACTGTCTACTTTCGTTTGGGTTTGTTTAATTTTTCTCGCTTTTTTTATTTCACTTCCGAAAAAACCTGTCAATGCAAATTTTGTCTGATAACTCTTTCAAAAACATATTTAAAAATATTTTTTCTTTCTACCTAATTCTATTTTTCACTTGAAATAATTTTATTCTTGTTTGACTTTACCTTCTCACTTTCCACTACTTCAATGTTGAATTTCCTAATAGCATAGAAGCGAGCAATGAAAATTTTTCCTTTTTCAAGAGAAGAAAACTCTTTTGACGATGGCATTTTCTCATTCAACTACATTCAACGGAATTTTCCGGCATGGTTCATACACTCACGCGCATACTATATCTGCTTGCTTGTGTGCGATGTCTAGAGGCGTTTCTAAAAATCCAAACCGTGAAATGTATGTGTTTCACGGCTCATGGTGAGAATAACCACTGATCAGTTTACATTTTTCACTATGTTGAATTTGATTCGTAATTACTAATTTAAAATTTTATTGCAGATACAATTTTCCTTTGTAGTTCACATATTTGTGAGTATAATAAGCATCAATGTCTATTAATTTTTAAAATTCTATTAAATTTTTATGATACCTTACATGTAATTTATCATCGTTTTAGAACAACTGAATTGGAAAGATGATATTTACAGCACCGGAATATCTTATTTAACAATTGATGCCGCTTTTTTAAATAATTCTTATGTCCGAATAATTAAAAACGATTATAAAATAAACGAAGTCGGGTACATGATTTTTTTTTTGTTAACATTTTTTTTATCATAATATTTTTGGCAAAAGCATTGTAGATATTTGTCATGCAAACATTTATCTTAAAATGATTTATGTAGAGTCAACTTGTTAAAAGTATGTTAATTCTAGCAAACCACCAGTATGCAATTTAAATGGATAATAAAAGTATGCTTGTAATGGCAGGCAACGGACATTAATGGATACTTAGAGGCTCTTAAATTAAAAATCAAAAAAAGAATTGCTCTTTAAATAAATTTAAAAAATCTTTAAAGTTGCACTAAAATATTTTTTAAAGTGTTTGTTCTTTAAACCTATCCAAAATCTAAAAAATTTGTTGCAAATGAAATATTTTGTCACAAAAATAAAAATGCATTTTTTAATTTCACGCAATTTGAATTTATTTTCTTTAAGCCGTAGTCAGTCATACAGATTAATCGTGCCAAATGTCGCATTAAATTAACATTTCAAACCGCATTTGACAAGATGAATAGAGATGAGATGAAGAATAAAGAACGAAAGACGAGAATTAGACAAAAACTGAGAGAAATGTACGAGTAGATATTAATAATCATCAAAGAGCAAAGTAAGCACGACGACACTGTGTCATTTATGATTAAACATTTCCCATCAAATTTATAATCATAAAAACCTTTTCATGTGTGCACATTTTTCTTCTAATTGCTTAATTAACTTTACCCGCTGTTGAGAGTTTCTTTTGCTCTCGTTTTTTTTTTGGGAAATTTGTTTTCAATTACGATGAGTAAAATCCAACTCACAGACATTACGATGTCAACATACTACAAAACATGTATGACGGTTTGATGATTCCAACACGTGCTTTCACTTAATAATTAAATGGGACGTTGTAAGAATTAAACCTCAAACATATTTCTTACTCTTAACACATTAACATCCTGTTCATCGTCATATTAACATCAAGAAATTTTACTTTTTATTTTGTGGACAAATGTTCTCTCTTCTTTTTGTTACTGTGCAGATGCATTTTTATGTATCGCACTATACTGTATGCATAATGTTCCTTCTATCCACACAATGACAATGAAATACGGAGAAGAGATTCTTGTGCACTGATTATGGGCAAAAACGTGTGAAGCAAGAGCATAATCGTTCACTGCTGATCAATTAATGCTGTTAAAGTTTATGTCCTCAGTACTACTTTTGTCAACTGTCTTTTGATCGGCACTTTATGTTGCTGTCATTCATTGATATAAATGCAAGATAAATGCTACACCTCTTATTGCATTGAGTATTACTGACAATGTAAGTATTGTGTTGGATATGAATACATCTTCTAAATGTTACTTACTTTATCGAATGCTTTAGAAACTTACTGAAATAATTAAATAAATAGCGTTAATGCCCTTTAAAGTAATTAAACAGTGACATCAATTACCTTAAGTGCATTTCAAAATCATTTGGTATCTTGTAATTATATGCTGAGTACAAGAAAATAACGATGGATTACTACAAATTATGTCTTTTTCGTACATTAATAGAAAATAAAATCACTTCGGTCGAAAGCCAAACGTCATTGTGGTAATCTTATGCGGCTTATGAGAAAATAATTTATGTCTTACTAATTCTTCACATTTTCTCTTAATCCTATTTTAATCTCGAATATTATGCAGGATGAAACATATCATGTGTAATTTAAGATGTTGAAAAATTTTGTTTCTTTTTCACACACTTATGGCATTTGCTTTTTTGATTTATTATCAAGGATCCACAACCTAAACTTTAATCATAAATTCATACTAAAATTGAAAATTCATTGAAAACGTACAAGGTCGTATGTTGATTCTAATTTTAGTGACTCTCAAATTTTCTTGTAGAATCCAAAAATTCATTACAAAAATGCACTTTTGTCATTAATCAACACTCTAATTCAATTATAAATCAATTTATGTCTCTCTTATGTGTTACTTACTGTGAGTGAAGATGAAAATTTCCAAATGTTTTTCATTCATAGAAAGAAAAATGCATTATAATTATCCCTTCCTTTATTTTCCACCAGAGTACACAGCGAAACTCATAAAATTTTTGCTTCGTTGCTCTTTTGATGCACCCTCAAAAATTTTATTTAAGTGTCTAAGAGGGGTTGAATGATGTAGGAATCTGGTAGCGGAAGGATGCTGTTTGTGTAAAAAATTATAAAAGACACCACAACAATGAATCTAGTTAGATTATGATAAGGCAGAAATCGACAAATAAACATCACACCCACTCATACGGAAATCATGATGATGCATATTGCAGCATAATAATGGATAAATTTATTTCATTTATTCATAATTTGTTTTGGATGGTGTGGAAATGGATGAAAGGTTGAATAAATATCTATTACTGTAACACTTTGTATAATTCCCAGCGTGTACTTTTTCTATAACAATCATTAGGATTTTTCTTAATATGAATCAGTGTGAAAACATTACACCTAGATTTTACTTCTTCCTTTAAAGAGCTGAATTTTTGATAAATGTCAAATTATCACGATGAAAATGAGATTGATTATTGTAAGGCATGCGATAAAATAAAGTCTATTTTATTGTTTTTTTTTTGTTACGTTTTGAGAATCTCAAATAAAATCTATTTCTTAGATAGATTCATGGTTGTTACACGTGGTTACACGTTCCAAAAAATTAACGTTATTTGTGAATGATTCCTAACTTGTTTTTAGATACTCATAAGTAAATTTTTAAATCCAGTTGATTAATCTCTAAATTCAAAAAAAGGCTGAATAAAAACTAAGTCAGTCCCTGTCAGTCCAATGATGATTTAAAATAACGTTCGAAATATTTTTAAATGTTTTTCGAAATCAATGTGAGATTTCGGAGGAAATAGTCATCACATGTAGGTGCCGACGTTTACTTCTAACATGTGACAAACTATTTTATTTTCAGTTTTTCTTAAATTCTAAGAATGGTTGTTTCAAAAAGCTGTTAAAATAGGATTAAATAGTAATAACAAATTTTAAATATTCAAACTCATTTGAATGACACTGCTTAGTTTTCTGTAAATGTAACTTCTAAATTGTACAAAATAAAATCGAACAAGCAATTCGATGTATAGTCTGGCACCTACAATTTACGTTCTCTCTCAAGATTGAGAATTTTTATAAAAAATAACAATAATCATGAAAAAAGTTTCTCTTACGCGAAAGCGAATGGTTAATTGAGCTTAGTTCATTGTCAAAGTAAAAATCGTCAAAGGCAGTACTCTTATAGATTTAGTGGCATACGACTTGGTGCTTATTTTTTGCTGATTACGAAAAAATAGTTTAAATTATTTTTTCTTCAATGTGAAAAAATTGGCAAATTGTTAAAAATTGAATGTTTATTATTTGTGTGATGTTGAGCAGATAAAGAATTGCAAAACGAGAAAATTATGCTAATTCAGTCGAGACTAATCGATTAATTGCTCTATTCCGCAATATCTTTCATAAAATTTGCAAGTGCTATAGTTCAAAGGAAATAATAATTAAAAAAATTATCAAAATTAAAAAAGAACAAATTGAAAAAATTTGGAAAAATGTCGGAGGGTAGTGAACCTGATCCATCAGAGATTGCAATTGAGAATCTTTATCCGGCATTATTATCATGCTTTGCAATTATAACTGTCGGGTATGTTAATAATAATGAATTATCAATGAACTTGTGTAGCCTTCAAAAAAAATCATATTATTTATTTACAATCATCTGTTCCACAGACGAAAGTGAGAGACAAATAAAATGTCATATATGAACTTTAATCTTTAGGAACTACATATTGATTTGTTTTTAATGTATTATTACTTCAATACCAAATGAAAGTGAAATATTATAGTGGAAGTCCTTTTTTCGTAATGATCACTATAAAATATTCATAGAACGTAAATTCGATTCAAATATAATTCGTGACTGATTATTTTGAGGTTCCATATGTTAGCAACGTTTTTCACGTAAACGACATTTCTCAATTGTTTTGATTTAATTTTAAACATGAAATTTCAATTAGATGATCTCCAATAACATTTTACTTCCTTCTAATCAGTGACATTTAAATATTTCTATTTAAAAAAACTCTCGTATCATAATCAATAAATTAATTGAGACAAGTTTCGTGACTCACACATTAATTATTTTCTTTGCTTACTTATGAGGAAGATACTTTTCTCTACTTACTGCATATGTAAATTCTTATCAAGTATCACTGCATTTTATTAATCTATCATGTGAAGTCTGGAAAAGAAAACTTTAAGCGATATTATGGATATTATAGAGTAAATTAATAAAGGGAACAGTTTAATGAACTTATCTTTAACTGGTGACGGACTTAGCTGATTCAACGTGACTATAATAAATATTAAGGATATTTTTTTTAAAAAAAGATAAGAGACCAATTTAAGACGATATGATTAATTAAGACCCATTAAGACATATAGGGAAATAATAAATGCTCCGGAAAGTTTGATAACAGTTTGTCAATTTGTGTAAATAAATCACTACTGCATTTATAATTTGCAATAACTGGGTCATCAATTTAAATAAACATCAGCTGTATTCTCAAAACATAAATAATAAGTGTATCATTCTATCATGATTAAGGCTTAATTCTTTAATTATCTCTGAAAATGACTAATGATTCAAAATATTTCCAGACTCGCATACGACTTCTGCTATTATTTATTATAAGATTCAGATTTTTATTATTTAAATAACTATGGCTTTAAATAATGTACAATATAATTTTATCTCTAAATCTTATATATATCATCGTTTTCGTCAAGTCATCTGTTTAATAAACGTTCATTACCGCTCATTTAAAAATTTCTAATGACAAAATTATTGATAACAATTGTAAAATGTGACTAGATTCTAGCTTTTAGAATTTTTAAAACATCCATAATTTATCGTACTGCACAAACTTTTAAAAGTAATTTTAGAGTCTATCAATGAAATTTTCATCCACTCTATAATCCATTATTCGAATAATCGCTGTGCTTCTATTGACGTCATTTGTTAGCAATAATAAAATTTTCTGCTCATGAAAAATCAAGATTCATATCAGGTGGATACAAATACAACAATTTTCAGTTATTATCACAATCTAACGATGACTCATTTAGTACATATCTGTATCATGTAAACATTATGTCAAATTGAAATAATTTCATGTAGAATTATTTCATATCATGCACAATGTATATTATTTTATTAAATTTATTTTCCTCTTGTTTCATTGCAGTTATATAGCGGCTCGAATGAATGTTGTAACAAACACGGGTGCAAAAGGTTTTCATACATATGTCGGTACATTCGCATTGCCTTCAGTGATATTTCTCTCGTTGTCGGAAGTAAAATGGGAAACTGTAAATTGGAAGTTCCTTTTTGCCATTTTCACATCAAAGTCAATCGTCTTTTTTGCAGTAATGCTAACGGCATTGCTAGTTGTAAGGCCTATGAATTTAGGAAAGAGTGGAATCCTTGCAATTTTCTGCACGCAAAGTAATGACTTTGCTATTGGTTTTCCAATTGTCAGTGCGCTTTATTCTGATATTCATCCAGAATATTCAGCATATATCTATCTTATGGCACCAATCTCCCTTGCTATACTTAATCCAATAGCTTATGTTATGATGGAAGTAACAAATTTACAAATTAGAAATAAAGAGCAAAGAAATAGTCCAGCTACATCACCAATGAGATGTCCAGAATCAGAGGCATCAGAAACACAAAGCAGAAGAAAAATATTTAAAGGAAAATTCCTTGTCATCATCCATACATTAAAATCAATTTTTCTTAATCCAATTCTTTTAATGACATTACTTGGAGTCATTGGAAGTGTTGTCTTTAAGAATGGAGTTCCCGTGTTCATGTCAAGTATTTTACGGACATTTGGAAATTCATTCGCAGCCTCTGCACTATTTTTACTCGGTGTAAGAATGGTGAGTGATGGGAGTCATGTGAAGGGACCTGGATTTTTATTGCCTGCTGTTTTAATCATTGTGAAACTGTAAGTCTTAACTTTTTAATAATCTAAAACATCAAAACATTAAAAATCCACTTTTACAGGCTGGTCTTACCACTGGTAATTCGACAGACAGTCAACATAATAAATGCAGGCAGTAATTTCACTGAAACGACTGATTTAAGCACGTTTGGTTTTTTGTACGGCACATTTCCTTCAGCACCAGGTGCTTTTGCTGTGGCCACACATTACAATACAGACATTGATTTGGTAAGCAAGTCAAAATATTTTCAAGTCATAATTAAAATTTACAAGCTTTTGTTTATAATTCCAGATTGCATCGTCGATGGTCGCATGTACATTTGTTTCGGCTCCTCTCATGTTTATTTCAGCAAAAATGATATCAATAACAAATTTAAATCCGCAAGATTATTTGAAAGAATACGACAGTATAGCATTTGATCTATCAATTTTTTCATTGTGTGCAGCAGTTTTCGTTTTATTGTTATTTACTGTCACGAAAAAATTTAAACGTCTCCCACATCGCATAACGTGCTGCTTATTGCTATCACAAATGATTGCATCAATTGGTATCATTATGTGGTCAAAGCTTGAACAAGACATACCATGGAAGATGTACCTGCAATTTAGTTTCTTTACGATTGGACAATATTCATCGAGATTGTGGGCTGCATTTTTGGCAATAACATTACTATTTCTTAACTCTAGAAGTTTATGTTTTGCACTGAAACTATGGCCTTATTTCCTTTTATTAGGCTTTGGATTGCCATCTTTAATCACGGGAATTTTATTCCTTGCTGATACCAAAAGCATAATGCCAAAAGCCAAGCAGAATCCAAACTTTCAATTTGGAAATGTTCAAGCGATTATATCTGTATTTTTGCTAGTCATGTGTTTTATCGTAACAGTTGGATGTCTCATGCTGCATCAACGATATAAACGAAGATATGAAAAATATATTTCACTATCCAAAGAAGTTGCATCACCTGATGTAGAAACTATTACAACGGCAGCAAGTTCAACAACAAATATTGAGAGACTTGCACATGTTGATTCAAGTCTGAATTTTGCTGTCAACAATAACATTAGGAGAAGACGATCAGTGTCATCAGATGACGATGAGATTGTAATTAAAGCAAATGGAAATGGTGGGTGTTCAGGCGAAGGTGGAGGGGATGGAGAATGTTGTTCTGCTGCACAGAATAAAACACCGACACGTGTAATTGATATTGAAGACTTGATTCCAACGGGTTCATCAACTTCTTCAGCTGTACAAGGAAATGGACTGTGCTCTTCACAGTTTGGATGTCCAACATCTTCTCGTGAAGCATGCCAGTCAATGGTTCAGAGATATCAACAAGATTCTAACTTTCCGCTCGAACCAATTGAACATATTGAAACCATTGACTCATATCAAGTCATGCAGCATACAGTGCTTTTAATTCTTCTTCTATGCTCTATGTTTGTGAGCTTTGCTCTCACAATATGGACATTGATTATGGAAGGAATGTCTGGAATTTATGTTGAACTTTCATTTTTAGAAGCATTTTTGAATTTTGGACAGAGCATAATAGTGCTTGCGTGCTTCATTAGTGATGCTGGTGATCTTTTTGGACCATTAACAGCATTTGTAAGGAAATTATGGTACGGTGCTGATGCTCTCAAAACCCCATCGTGGGATGATCTCTCAGATGATACAAAACATGTTTGTGAACAATTTGCCACATACCATCTTGAAAGATGCCGCAAAGCTATTGCCAAAGATAAAAGATGGAGAATTAAAGTATATAAAAAAGTTTTTTTCGGTTCACAGTTTGTTGATTATTTAATAGAAGTTGGTCTCGCTAGTGATAGAATTGAGGCAGTTAAATACGGTAAAAGACTGATTGATGGACGAATTATGCGACATATTAATAAGTGTCATCACTTTGCTGACAAGAAATTATTGTACACATTTTGTAATAGATTGTAGTTAATAACGATGATGTAGTGGACATCAAACTATAGACTAGAATGTGAGACGAGTTTTTAATGAAATATAATATTTAGAAATGGTTCATGCATGGGCTTTCTTGTGTCTTAAATATATTTTTAAGCTTTTTCACCTGTGGATGAGTTCTCAGCACCAATTATTAAGAAACTCTAGAAATTCACATAACGACACCCTTGCATGAAATTATTTTCTATTAAAAAAGATCTGTAAATATGCAACAAGTGACTTACGGATTATCAAAAAGTCAGTAATTGTTAAAGTTAAAGACAGACCTAAACAATAAGAATTATTTTTAATTTTATGTGATATAATAGCTAATTGCTTTGAACAATGAATTTTGAATTATTGTGACAAGACAGCCATTCATATTTTTTTAAGCAATAAAATATAAGAATTAATTATTGCAACAGTTCAAAATTCCCGAATTTAAAATAAAGTGAGCAGCCATTCATGTTTTCTTACTGAGAAAGATTGAATATCGTGATTTATTGACTTTTTTGAAGACGATCGCATAATATACAATTACTACTCACGATTTGTTATTATTTTCTAATAGGTCTAACAAGCTTTATGAATTAAAAGTCATTAAAAGATATTATATTGATGAAAAAAGAGAACCCCCTTCCGCATTTGAAGCTAAAATAAAATAAAATCAAGTTTCTTGATTGAAATAAATACTAAAATTTGCGGCTGACGACAAACAATGAGGCTACAATGAAAGCATGAATGACTGAATACTAATTGAGTATGAAGCTTAAATAAATAAATCATCACTTAAAGATGTGCTGAATATTATTAAATGTATCTTTGCAACATAATTTAATGATATTATGCTAGTTCAATGAATCTAGTTTGGTACAGATGAATTAGGTTCTTGAAAATTTGAACAAATATTACAATTCAACCAGTTAATAATTGTATGATAATAAATCTGTAAGCAGAAAGTTATTTTTTGAATTTAATTATATTTTTAAAACACAGAAATAAACAAAACCTCAAGCAAATGAATCATGATTGTTAAAATATTATTCCCGATGAAACAGGCCTTTATCTATTTATTTCCAATAATAACGAGTTACTCTTCATAATATGTATCAAATGATTTAGTAACTGTACTCTATATATTGAAACACATTTAAATTTTTTAAATTTAATGACTGGTTCCAAAAAATAAGAGCTTAATTAAATTTTCATAACTTTGCGATGAATGCATTAAAATTCTAAGTTCCTTCACATATAGAAAGGGTAAACAATTCCACAGCTGGATTTTTTTAAAAATTTCGTGTTTGAGACTAGGGTTTTCAATCCCGGTCCAAATTTTCAATACCGGGATTACGGGATTGAAAGATTAAGAGATTATTAAAGAAGCCTTAAAATTTTCAATAAATAAAACATAAAATCTTCGTTTGAGAGAAAAATTCTTATTTTATATTTGTTCTATGTATGTTTATTGTTAATGATTAAGCAAATTGTATAGGACATAAAAATAGACTTCTATGCCAAATTTCAAGTCATTTGGTGCTGTTCCTGCGATTTTGTGACTGTTTAAAGTTGAAAATGAGTGAAAATTCTGATTTTTTCATGCCCTCTTTAAATCTAAAGTTCCTTATGATTATTAAAGATATTGAAAAACGGTTTTCAGTTCCTAATAGTAATATATGAGAGCTTCATTTTGATATTCCACAAAGATTTTAACTTTGTAGTTTTGGTACCGCTATGGTAGGATATGTAAGAAAAACAGTGGAAACGTGCTGCAAGTATCTAAGATCGCAAAATAGTAGGGGGTAGAATCACACCAGCATGTAGCCCTTGATTTGTAGTTTTCAGAACTGTATGAACTTTGTCCAATACAGTTCTGCATTAAAAAGTTATAGCGATTTTAGTGAGTCGATGAATATTTAACCAAAAACTAAAATTGCATATAAAAAATATAAACCAATGAATATAAATAAGTTTTTTCATGTTTTCTAATCAAAAATACTGTTACAAAACAAATGGATGGGGGGTAAAATCCCCGAAAGATATTAATTCCACGATCCTGCGGGATAATAACCCCGAAAATCGCAAATTTTTAAATGTTCTCTGCGGGATAATATTCTCACTTAGAAATACACGTGGAATTATTATCCTTCCGGAAAGATAATAATCCCACCTATAATTACAAGTGGGATTATTATCTCCCAGGTAGATTATAATTTCATTTACATTTCTAAGTGGGATTATTATCTTTATGGAACACGATTAAAATTATGGATTAAATCAAATCCAAAAACTTATTTGTCATAGTGGATAATAATTCCACTTGTATTAATAAGTGGATTTATTATCTAATAGGATTTTCATCCAAAAAAATCCCACTTATTAATTTGTCAATTTCATTATTCCAAAAACTTAAATAAGAAGAAAACATAAATATTGGTTGAATGTTTAAGTTGAAAACTTGGTTTTTTATGCCTTTTGTAAATTTTCTAAAAGCCTAGAGCCTAGATGTTTAATGTATCAAAGATCTTTTCACTCAAGAAATCATATTCACAAAAAATATTCAATTTTTTGTTTTTGCAAATAGTTTTGAAATGAAGTCTTTCAAAATTTAAAACGTGCGCAACTAATAAATCACGTTTTTATCATTTTTGTCATTGGAAAAATTTGAGTTCACGTGATGCAGGATAGAGGATGCAGGGTTTTTTGCCCATTTGCTTTTTTTCCTCAAAATGCGAAAAACTGTTTTTCAAGCCGAACAAAAATAAAGTGAATACGGTGTGAATATAAAATCTAAAATTTTTTTTTATATTCACATAGTTTTCACTTGTGAATCAATTGGTTTTGTTCAGATTGAAAAATCAGTTTTTCGCATTTTTTGAGAAAACGAAGCAAAATTGGTTATAAAAGTTCAAGAAGAAAAGTTTGTGCCTGAAATTTTACATCATTTTCAAAAAACAAAGAAATCTCAATAACGAGACATCGTAGAGACTTCTAGTTTTTAACATTTGATCCGTGCTGCTCTATAGAAGAGCTGTATTGTTTTTGGGCAAGGTAAGAACAGCCGTTGCTTCAGAAAAAGCAAAAAACTTTCCTTTCTTACGAATTTTTTAAAACAAAAGTTGACTGTGATTTTTATAAAATTCAAGTTTGGATGAAAAATTTTTTTTAAAAACTTTTAAAGAATGTTCGTTAAGCTTTAGACCTTCAAACTTATGCTGAGCGAAGCTTAGCTCACTCGCTAGCTTTATATCTTCAAACTTATGCTAAGCGAAGCTCAGTTGACTTATCAAGCTTCATACTGCTTCATACCTTCATACTTATGCTGGGAAAATCTTGGTCTATCCATTGGACTTTTGATGGTACGGTGTGAATATAATCCGCATTGGGTTTCTGCCCGAAATACTAGTTCTGACAGGTTTTATTTTAAGCTTTTCTTCAAAAGAGCTCAAGTTTGAAAGAACTTACAAAATATTACGTTTGAATTTTGTACGAATCACTTTAATTATTTGCTGAAAATTTTCAATAAATTTGTGGCCATCAGTTTATTTAAGTAACCCTGTATACCTGAATACTCAGAATAATTTCGAAATTTTGAGATTATAAACAATCAAATCTCTTAAATGTTCTAAAACCATTGGAAACCTTCTTGGGGCTTGTAGACACGGTTAAACAGCATCAGAACTGCCATCATTTTAAAATTCTAGTTAATTTAATAGGAATTTGAGCAACAGAATTTTAATTTTGCGTTCTTTTTATGCTTAAATCTTTACATTTTTCTTAGCAAAATGTGTAAACAAATATTATGATTATATTTATAAATCTAATTTTGTTAGGGGCAATTTACAATTATTTGAATGACTTTTGGAAAATTTCAGGAAAGAATCGAAAATTTATTATTTTGCCCATTAGAGGTTAACATATCTACTCGTAAACATTTGAACAAAACTGTGATTTTTAAACAGTTGAATGAATGAAGCGAAACAAAATGGAATTACGGCTACATTTTCTTTAAACATTCGAGCGAATTTCGAACATAATTTTATATGGAATAGCTAACATCTTTAGATCAGTTGAACCCACCTGAACCCACCTTGATTTTATTTTTTAAACAATTTGGAATAATATATTTTTAAAAAGCAAACATTCAACCAATATTTATGTTTTCTTCATATTTAAGTTTTTGGAATAATGAAATTGACAAATTAATAAGTGGGATTTTTTTTGGATGAAAATCCTATTAGATCAATATTAGATAATAAATCCACTTATTAATACAAGTGGAATTATTATCCACTATGACAAATAAGTTTTTGGATTTGATTTAATCCATAATTTTAATCGTGTTCCATAAAGATAATAATCCCACTTAGAAATGTAAGTGAAATTATAATCTACCTGGGAGATAATAATCCCACTTGTAATTATAGGTGGGATTATTATCTTTCCGGAAGGATAATAATTCCACGTGTATTTCTAAGTGAGAATATTATCCCGCAGGGAACATTTAAAAATTTGCGATTTTCGGGGTTATTATCCCGCAGGATCGGGAAATTAATATCTTTCGGGGATTTTACCCCCCATCGTTCCAAAGACTGTCCATAATTATGTTAGACCACGAGTTCTATCTTTTGGATATTATTACATACATCTGTATACAGTACCGTTCAAAACTGTTTCCATGTTTCATGAAAATTTTTCTTTCCAACATATTTCTTATAAAACGTAATATTTTCGCAACATGTTATATATCGTTTTAAAGCTTGTTTAATAAGCTATTTAAAAATGATAAGCAACTTTGCAAAATATTTAATTAAAGTAGATTTTTTGCTTAAAATATGCACTGTCACATGGAAACACTTTTGAGCTAATAATTGTTTTTCCAAATTTTGATGCATAGCAGAACTAATTGATTAAAGTTTGTTTATTATAGTAAAGAGCAAGTAAAATATTCGATAAAAGCACATAAATTAAGTTGCTAGACATAGTTAAAATATTTATATAAGAATGTCAAATCACTTGATAAATTTTCACATAATTTTGCAAAAAATTACTGAATTAAAGCCAAATGTTGTGATGTTTGCATCTATACAAACGTATTTTAGCTTATTAAATCTGAGAAACAGTTTTTAATTGTAAATAGAAGCATTTGAAAACAAAAAATTGATAAGATTTCATGAAAACACTTAAATTTTCTTACTTGCAAACACAAGTATTCAAAATTTTTTATTACCTCCTCCACTTCAAACATCTTTAATCGCTTTTTCTGATAGATTTTATGTTAACAAAGAAAACCATATATGATTTATGTAGTCATTGTGAGAAAAGGATTTTTTTTTACAATTTTGTTGTTCAATGACAGCAATATTCAAAATTTTTCACAAGCATTTACAAAAATTCAATTTTTTTACGTAAATATCGACTTAAGACAACGCAAAATGATTAAAATTATTTAAAAATCCAATTCATATTAATAAATAGTCATATTTGACTATTTTAAGTCGATATTTACGTAAAAAAAATTGAATTTTTGTAAATGCTTGTGAAAAATTTTGAATATTGCTGTCATTGAACAACAAAATTGTAAAAAAAATCCTTTTCTCACAATGACTACATAAATCATATATGGTTTTCTTTGTTAACATAAAATCTATCAGAAAAAGCGATTAAAGATGTTTGAAGTGGAGGAAGTAATAAAAATTTTTGAATATTTGTGTTTGCAAGTAAGAAAATTTAAGTGTTTTCATGAAATCTTATCAATTTTTTGTTTTCAAATGCTTCTATTTACAATTAAAAACTGTTTCTCAGATTTAATAAGCTAAAATACGTTTGTATAGATGCAAACATCACAACATTTGGCTTTAATTCAGTAATTTTTTGCAAAATTATGTGAAAATTTATCAAGTGATTTGACATTCTTATATAAATATTTTAACTATGTCTAGCAACTTAATTTATGTGCTTTTATCGAATATTTTACTTGCTCTTTACTATAATAAACAAACTTTAATCAATTAGTTCTGCTATGCATCAAAATTTGGAAAAACAATTATTAGCTCAAAAGTGTTTCCATGTGACAGTGCATATTTTAAGCAAAAAATCTACTTTAATTAAATATTTTGCAAAGTTGCTTATCATTTTTAAATAGCTTATTAAACAAGCTTTAAAACGATATATAACATGTTGCGAAAATATTACGTTTTATAAGAAATATGTTGGAAAGAAAAATTTTCATGAAACATGGAAACAGTTTTGAACGGTACTGTATATGATTTGATTAAGGAACTCAACACAACTACTCATTGTTGTTTTCATGTAATATCCGACTTCTTTTATGATTCTACATACAATAATTATTTTAAAGTCACTCATTAAGCAGAAAAATGAAAATTCATAAAGCGCCACATAAAATAGTGCAACACTTAAGCTTTTATTTTCGTAATTCAGAGAGATCAAAGTATAATTTTTTAAAGAACATCGATTAACAAAGCTGTATATCTCAAAATTACACTCAAGAGGTGAGGGCTGCTCTCTACTCAATTCATTTCATTGCAATTTGGCTAAACTTTACTGCAATTCATTGCACTTTACTCTACTTCATTCTACTTTGAAGCACTTTATTGCATTTTTTAAGATAGTATTCACATCGTATTCACATTTGAATCCGTTTGAATAAATTGTTTTTGCAATTAAAAAGTTTGTGCCTGAATTTTACATCTTCTGCAAAAAATAGAATTTAAATTGGTTGAGGCATAGCTGAGAAATTCGCAAAATACGCTTTATCTACGCAAAACGAAACTTTCGATAGGCATATGAGTCGACTGCATACAAAATATCATCGACTTCGAGCTCTGGTACGGGTTTTTATCCAATACACTAGTTTTACAGTTGCTTCCAGTTTCTTCCTTTAAAACAGTTTGACTATTTGACCACGTGTTCTGTAACGTATAACATGTTGTTTTTCTTTAGAATTTTTGAATTTATTTTTTCAAAAACATTCATAGGGTTTTTGGTAAAACATTTGTAGGTTTTTAATACAGTAAACAGAATTTTTTTTGTTTGAGAATTAGTCTTACTTATTAGGTCATATTTTTTTAATTTAATTAATCAATAGTGGATTTTTTAACTTCATTAAAAGACTTAAACAATATAGAACTTTAATAAAACCATGAATTTACCGAAATTGTCTCGTTCAGCTCGTGTAAATACTAATTTAGATACAAAGAGGAATTTCGCAAGAATCGGCAATAAAAATACTCAACAAGGAAATAGAAATGAAAGGTAATGAACCATTTGCTGCGTTTTTATTAGCTTATCATTAAAATAATGTCTTTCACAGATCATCTTGGTCAGATGTAAAAAGATTCGTATTGAAAAATGTAGACAAAAGGGAAAGTGCCGAAATTGATAAGAAACTTCATGAATTATGGGTTAAAACGAAGGAGCTAACAAATGGAGAAGAAACGACAGACCTGCTCGATGAATTGTCGATCTTTCTCTTACGGCTTTTCCTTAATCATCGCAATGTTCTTACAAAACATATTGCTCAAATGAAAAATTTCTTTGGAGACGTCAGTAACAAGCAGGCAAATGACATTCATGCATTAGTTTCAGCTATAACGAGAAATCTTGATGATCATATTATCGAAAAACTAAAAGAGCTGGTTTCTGAGGAGGAAGAGAATTTCAGTAGAAAGCAAAAGATGTTTGGTCAGACAATTAAATACGTGTCATCAAATAATTACTTCCAAGATACCACAATTCTAAGTGATTTGAATATGGATGCAGAGATAACAGCACAGAAAGGAGCTCTTGATAATTTTTCAATGAAATATGAAAAGACTAAACCTGTAGAGCCTAAAAAAGGAAAGGTTTACGACAGATCGTGGATAGTAATGAATGTTAATGCCGATTTAGTCGATATTCTTATTGGAATTTTAAAGTCAGGACGATCAAATGACGAGATTCAGAACGAGCTATTCGAATTAATGGGCTTTGATAAATTTGAACTCATTTTAGAGATTTTAGAAAATAGAAAGGTGCTAGTGAAAAATCTAGACATGATGGAAAAGAAAGAAGCAATGAAAGAACAAGTTGTGAAAAGACAGAATGAAGTAAAACCAGCTCCTAATTATTTAATGCCTGTCATTGTTCAATCTGAAAAAGAAAAAGATTTGATGAAGTTGGCAAGAAAGGATGAAAAGAAACTGAGGGTTTTAAAAGGGAATGGCGATGAGGATGATGATGAGGAAATACAGTTAGCGAAATTGCAATTAAATCAATCAAATGCTTTGCTGAAAATCGCTCAAAAGCAGCCAGTTATGACTGAAAGTAGATCATCAAATTGGCCAATTCGATATGCACAAGTTCAACCTAAATATCCTTACGTTTTTGACTCGAATAAGGAAGCAAGAGCTCATGTTGGATTTATTGCTGGAAACAAGATAATGCTTCCTGAAGATACTGTCCGTAAAGATACACAAATGTACGAAGAAGTTATGATTCCAGCACGAGAAGCGCCTCATGATTTGACAGTAGGAAATAATCGTATTCAAGTTGAAGCTTTAGATGAAATCGGCCAAACAGCATTTAAAGGAACAAAAGAACTGAATCGAATTCAAACTGTGGTTTATCCTACAGCTTATCATACCAACGAAAACTTATTAATCTGCGCTCCAACTGGTGCTGGAAAAACAAATGTAGCTATGCTTACAATCGTGAATGTAATTCGAGCTCATACGGATCAAGGAATAATACATAGAGATCAATTTAAAATCGTATATGTAGCACCAATGAAAGCGCTTGCCGCAGAAATGACAGACAACTTCTCAAAACGTCTTAAGCCTTTAGGAATTCTTGTAAGAGAATTAACGGGTGATATGCAATTAACAAAAACAGAAATGCAAGCAACACAGATTCTTGTGACGACACCAGAAAAGTGGGATGTAGTAACAAGAAAAGGTGCAGGAGATGCATCTATGATTAGCTTAGTGAAATTATTAATTATTGATGAAGTGCATTTATTACATGGAGAACGTGGACCTGTTGTTGAAGCTTTAGTTGCTCGTACTTTGCGTCTTGTTGAATCATCACAATCAATGATTAGAATTGTCGGACTTTCAGCGACACTTCCCAATTATATTGATGTTGCCAGATTTCTTAGAGTAAATCCAGCAATTGGATTATTTTATTTCGATTCACGTTTCCGTCCAATTCCTTTATCACAGACATTTATTGGAGTGAAATCATTAAAAACATTACAGGCAATGAATGATATGAATACAATATGTTATGAAAAATGTCTAGAACAGTTAAGGAATGGCAAGCAAGTTATGGTATTTGTGCATGCGAGAAATGCGACGACAAGAACTGCACTTACGTTGAGAGAAATGGCACAACAAAAAGGTCATACACAAATCTTCAGTTGTGAAAAAAGTTTAGAGTTTTCGAATGCCTTAAAAATGATAAGTAAAAGTCGGAATAAGCAACTTGTCGATTTGTTCCAACACGGATTTGGATTTCATCATGCTGGCATGTTGAGACAAGATCGTTCGATGGTCGAAAAATTGTTTGGTGATGGATTAATCAAGGTTTTAGTAACAACAGCCACATTAGCATGGGGAGTTAATCTTCCAGCGCATGCAGTAATCATTAAAGGCACTGAAATTTATGATTCAAAACATGGATCATTTGTTGATCTTGGAATTCTAGATGTTTTACAAATTTTTGGACGTGCTGGTCGTCCACAATTTGACAAAAGTGGTCTTGGTATAATTATTACCAACTTTGATAAGCTCAATCATTATTTGTCTTTATTGACCAATCAATTTCCAATCGAGTCTAATTTTCCACAATGTCTTGCTGACAATTTAAATGCAGAAATTTCTCTTGGAACGATTTCAAATATCCAGGAAGCTATTGAATGGCTTAGTTACACTTATTTGTTTGTTAGAATGAGAATAAATCCACAAGTTTATGGATTAAACTACACAGATGTTGAGGAAGATCCAACATTAGTTATGAAAAGAAGACAATACATTCATGAAGCAGCAATGGCATTAGATAAGGCAAAAATGATTCGTTATAACGAACGTACTGAGGATTTGAACATTACAGATTTAGGAAGAACAGCTAGTCATTTCTACATTAAATATGATACAGTCGAAGTTTTCAATGAAATGCTTCGTCCAATAATGAATGAAGGAGAAGTTCTTAACATGATGGCAAATGCTCATGAGTTTCAACAGCTTAAAGTAAGAGATGATGAAATGGATGAATTAGATGATTTGAATCGGGAGTCGTGTGAAGTACCTGTAAAAGGAGGAAGTGAAAATTTACACGGAAAAGTCAATATTCTTATGCAGACATACCTTTCTCGAGGTTTTGTCAAATCATTCTCCCTTATTAGTGACTTGAGTTATATTAATCAAAATGCTGTGCGAATTGCGAGAGGCTTATTTCAAATAATTTTACGGAACAATAATGCAATTTTAGCTGGACGTCTTTTAACTATGTCAAAAATGTTTGAACGTCAAATGTGGGACTACTATACACCTATGAGGCAATTTGTGACGATTCCTTTTGATGTGATTGATAAGATTGAAAATCGTGGACTAAGTATTGATACATTACGTGATATGGATTCTAAGGAAATATCTGACATGTTACGAAATCATCGTCATGGAGAATTAGTCAAAAGATGCGCTCACGAATTTCCAATGTTAAAAATCGAGGCTAACTTACAGCCAATCACCAGAACTGTTTTACGTATTCGAACATACATTACTGCTGATTTCAAGTAAGTTTTAATCCACAACTTCAACTCATGCAAATTAATCACTATTTTTTTACAGATGGAACGACCGAATTCACGGGAAGCATGCTGAATCATTTTGGATATGGATTGAAGACCCTGAAAATAATTACATCTATCATTCTGAATATTTTCAAGTTACAAAGAAACAAGTCATCACACAAGATCCACAAGAATTAATTATGACAATTCCATTGAAAGATCCACTGCCTCCACAATATATAATACGTGCAATAAGTGATACGTGGCTTGGTTCCTCAACCAGTGAAGCATTGAGTTTTAAACATTTAATTTTGCCTGAAACTCATCCACCACATACAGAATTACTTCCTTTACAACCTTTGCCTCTTAGCGTATTACATGAACCCCAATTTGAACAGCTTTACAACTTTACACATTTCAATCCCATACAAACACAGATCTTTCATTGTCTTTATCATACAGACAACAATGTATTACTTGGTGCTCCAACTGGCTCTGGAAAGACAATAGCTGCAGAAGTTGCAATGTTTCGAGTGTTTAAGCAAAACCCAAAAGCTAAAATTGTCTATATTGCACCATTAAAAGCCTTGGTCAAAGAAAGAATTGACGATTGGAACAAACGACTTGGTGAGAAATTAGGTAAAATAGTTGTTGAATTAACTGGTGATGTCACGCCTGATGCTAGACTCATTCGAAATTCACATGTTATTGTAACTACTCCTGAAAAGTGGGATGGAATTTCACGATCCTGGCAGACACGTGAATATGTGAGAGATGTAGCACTTATTGTGATTGATGAAATCCATTTGCTCGGTGAAGATCGTGGACCTGTTTTGGAAGTTATTGTGTCACGTACAAATTTCATTAGTTCTCATACATCAAAGAAAATAAGAATTATTGGATTATCGACAGCACTAGCAAATGCTAAAGATTTAGCAAACTGGCTTGAAATTAAACAAATGGGTCTTTATAATTTCAAACCATCGGTTCGTCCAGTTCCACTTTCAGTTCATATTAGTGGATTTCCAGGCAAACATTACTGTCCAAGAATGGCAACAATGAATCGTCCAGTTTTTCAAGCTATTCGTCAATATTCTCCTTGCACACCAGCTTTAATCTTTGTATCTTCACGTCGACAAACTCGTTTAACTGCATTAGATTTGATTGCATTTCTTGCTGGCGAAGACAATCCAAAGCAATTTTTACATCTTCCTGAAGACGAAATGGAACAAATTTTATCAGGAATTAAGGATAACAACTTGAAATTGACATTAGCTTTTGGTATAGGACTTCATCATGCTGGTTTACAGGAGAAAGATAGGAAAGCATGTGAAGAATTGTTCCTTAATCGAAAGATTCAGATTCTCATTGCAACTTCTACTTTAGCTTGGGGCGTAAATCTTCCAGCACATTTAGTCGTAATCAAAGGAACTGAATTTTATGACAAAAAAATCAATAGATATGTAGACATGCCAATTACTGATGTTCTTCAAATGATGGGACGAGCTGGTCGCCCACAATTTGGAAATGAAGGAATTGCATGCGTGTTTGTTCATGACGTCAAGAAGAATTTCTACAAAAAGTTCCTCTACGATCCATTCCCTGTCGAGTCAAGCTTACTAGCTGTATTACCTGATCACATAAATGCTGAGATTGTCGCTGGAACTGTACAAACAAAACAAGGAATTTTGGACTATTTAACATGGACATACTTCTTTAGGCGTATTTTGAAGAATCCAAGTTACTATAAAATGGAAGGAATTGAACAACAAGATGTCAATCGCTTTTTAACAGAATTAATTCAAAGTGTCCTTGATACTTTACAAGATGCAGGATGTATCGAAATTGACGAAGACAATCGCTCTGTTTATCCAACAAGGTAAATCTTTATATAAAAAAAAAAGCTTTTAATAATCGATTTGATCCTTATGATATTTTTGTAGCACTGGAAGGATCTCATCTTATTATTATTTGAGTCACAAAACAATGAAGCATTTTTTCAATACATTAAACTACTCATCAACAGATGAGAATGTCTTGAGAATCATGTGTGATGCCTATGAATTTGTGGAACAGCCAGTGAGACATAATGAGGATAAATATAATGAGTAAGAACCAATTTAATTAAACTTTATTCATGTTAATTAAATTATTGATAAATTTACAGGGAATTAGCAAAAATGTGTCGACTCAAAGTTGATCCATTGACTTATGACAATCCACATACTAAAACGTTTCTACTCATGCAAGCTCACTTCTCTCATCTTCCACTTCCCAATACGGATTTCGCTACTGACACCAAATCAGTCTTGGATCAATCAATTCGTATTTTGCAAGCTATGGTCGATTATGTCGCTGAAAATGGATGGCTGGCAACGACACTGAGAATTCAAATGCTAATGCAATGTGTTATTCAAGCTCGATGGCAAGATGATCACATTGCTTTGTGCCTACCACATGTCAATGAACAGAACTGCCATGTTTTTGACAAAATTAAAATCGAGTAAGATGAAGCTTAATACTGTTTAATGATATACTATTTAATATTCCTATCACTATTAATTTAACAGCTATCCAATATTGACTCTACCTCTACTGAAAGAAAAATGCATCAAGAACTACGAAGCATTGGCTGGACCGTTGAGAAAGGAATTTGAGGAACCGCAAATTGAACAAATTTATAAAGTAATTAAAGATCTGCCAACGATTAATATTGAGATGAAAATTCGAGGACCATTAAAAAAAGAAACAGAAGTTGATCAATTAGTTGCCCAACCATCAAATAGAAATCAATGGATTCAAATTCATGCCGATGAAGAATATACGCTAATTGTGAGTCTTCATAGATTAGGAATTAGAAGTTCCAACTATATTTATTGTCGATTCCCAAAACCAAAAGATGAGAATTGGTTCCTAACGATCGGTAATCAAGAAAATGGAGAACTAATTGGGCTGAAACGAGTAAACTATAAATCAGCTAGAAGTTCACATCATCTTGTTCTCAGTCCATTATCTAACATAGGACGTGTTATTTATACTGTCTATTTTATTTCTGACGGTTATATTGGATTAGATCAGCAATATAATGTTCAATTAGAAGTCATTGAACCATTGAAAAAGTATGCTGATATGCCAATATATGTTAGTGATTATACCAAGGATGTATAAGATTCTTACTACTGCTATTTTTATTATTTCTGTTAGTATCGGATAAATTAAATAAGGCAAGTGTTTTTATTACTATGCAAGAGGAGATAAGCATAAGTTTATTGAGTTTCATTTATTAAATTCCTGACAATTTGATTCAGTTTTTCAGTAAATGCCTCAAATGAAAATCTTTGCTTAACACGAGTTCGTCCCATTACTCCCATTTTTTCTGCAAGCTTCATGTCTTTAAATATAAGCGTTGCTGCATTAGCAAAATCTTCAGGGGTTGATTCACAGAGAAATCCAGTCTGTTCATGTACTACAGTTTCTTTTGGACCGCCAGAATTGACAGCAATAACTGGAACTTGCAAGTACATTGCTTCTAATGGTACAATTCCAAAATGCTCGTTAGTAGGAGTGTAAAGAAGCATCCGACAACGATTTAATAGCTGAATCTTTATTTCATCACTTGGCGATCTAAGCATTGTAACTTTATCTTTCAATCCTAAATTCTCACAAATTGCAATCAATTCATTAAAGTGTTCAATGTTCTCGAGATTTCGCGAGTCATATCCACCAGCAAGTACTAAATGGGCTTTATCCCATTCCTGTTTTGTCAAGTTTCTCTCAAGTAGCTTAAATGCTTTCAAAGCTAATGGTAGATTTTTTTTCCGTTCATAACGATTAATTGATAAGAGGATTACTGCATTAAAAGCGATTCCGTCCACAGAATTATCATTTGTTTTATATTGATCGAATGATTTGGTTACTAGTGATGGATAAAGAACACCGGGAGTAATTTTAAGTGATTTGAATGTCTCACTAAAGATTCTACTTGTAAATTTGCTATTAACTAAAACTCCATCAGCAGCACCAGTTGTTTTCTCTTCTAAATAATTTAATGGTATCCGATAAATTGATTTCATACATCCACCCTGTTTTGTTAATAATTGATCAGGAAAGTGACAATAAAAGAGAATCTTTGGATTATGTTTTGCATATTTTAAAAGCGGAATTCCAAGTGAAATTAAGTCGCAAAAGATCAAGTCAAGTTTCTCTTCTTTGGATTGAAACAGAACAACATAAAATGCAGCATAAACCATACGAAAATATGCACAGAATGCATAAAATTTTCCGAAAATATTTCTTGGAATCCAATCACCAACAACTTTGACTTCTAATGTACCATTTCTTGTTTCCTCAAAGCAGTGTGTCTTATCATGATGATTCGTTAAAAAGCTTACTGTATGACCACAGTTTTTGAGTGCTAATGCGGCATCAATTACTAATCTTTCAGCACCGCCTATTCCCAAATCGGGATGAAGAAATAATACTCGCATTATCTGTAAACATACGTGGCTTATGATGAAATAGCTACAAAACATAATTTATATTACTATAAATTTTTACCTATATAAAATTATGGCTCAAATTCACTGACTATAATTTATTATAATATTCACAATATCAATTTTTTGTTGCTTCAAAAAAGCTCAAAATTATTCAATGAGAAGAATTCCAAAACAAAGATTGAAAGCTGAAGGGATGGTAACAAAATAAAAAGTTATGCTGCATATTTTGAAATTATCAGTTGGGGTTTTCATTTAATTTCTCGTTAGACCAGACCGTTGGATGAAACATCCTTTAAAAGAGTTGCCTCTTACGTCAATTTCTCCTTCTTCTAGCTGCAAAACAAATTGAAATTTGTAATTAAAGTGCTTAGTTGGATATAACATTTTATAACTTACTGGATCATTTTCATAAAGTTCCCGATAGCAGATGGGACTAATGCACTCGAGAATGCAATGGGTTCTTTGAATCGAATCATTGTTAAGATTTTGGCATTTTTCGGATCCTTGGCATGCTGATTCGAATTCTTTAAAAAGGCTAAGTTCCTTAATACAACAAGAAAAATGGAGGGGAATTTTGATTGATTCTTAATAAAATTATATTTACAATTTATTACAAAATTATAGTTGAATGGCCACAAACAAGATAATAAAAACAGAATCTACGTGCACTAAAATTAAATTAATTATTATATTTTTATTTTTGAGATTTTATATTCGCGTTCGGATTTCGTCGAGGCGTCCATCTTAAATAAGCAGAATCAACGGTAAGTTTTGGTTTTTTGAATTGAGGCAACATTAGATGCTCATTAATCGTCCTTTGTGTTACTGTAATACAATAATATCCCTTCCAATATTTTATCATTTTCATGGATTGAAGTGTCTGAATGATATCTTCTTGTGTGATTCCACTCTGTTCACTTAGTTCCTTTACACTCTGGGATGTTGTTTTGCAATCCTTTAAGAGACCAAGTAGCGTATAAGCCCAATAACTTCTATAGCTTAAACGCCCAAGATCTGATAAAGGTTTTTCAGGACTTCCGATGATTCCTTCGCGTTTTGATAGCTCATAGCTAAATGCTATTAGTAACTTTCCATATCCTTTTCGCTGATATGGTGGTAAAATGAGAATACAAGCCACATTGTTGTTTTCGGGTGAGAATTTTTCTTTACTGAAATATCCAACAATATTTTGTCCGTTCTTATCAATTTCACATAAAATATAGAAGACAAAAGATTCGACATCATAAAATAAAGTCTTATGATCCAGAAATAGTTTAGCCATTAGACATAAATTCTGACAATATCCTTTATGCTCTTTTCCATCAATTTCAAATACTGAGATTGTTCCTTTACGATAGATTTCAAGTCCTGGAGGCTGCCTTTTTGTACACTCTTTTGAATGCTCCCTATATGTCAAGACAAATTTCATGTATTTCAAGCAATACTGACAGACATAAAGTGTATCAACTCGTCCATAATTCTCAGGATACGGTGAAAAGTACCACGTTTCTATCTCAAATCTCCCAAACCTTAACTTGTTAATGTATTTAATTTTTGTGATATTCTCGTGCTCTCTTTCAAGTGCTGCAGTTGTTGGATCCATTTCTGCAAATGTCTTTTGTACATGATTAATTTCATCATGTCGTCTTTTCTGATTTCTTGTAATCTTTCTATCACTATTATCATTAGCCGATCCGACTACTAAATTTCCATTTGTCGTAGAATCAATAGGTATAAGCGTGGTCGTTGCAATATTAGACTTTTGTTTATTATATTCCCTCAATTCCTCTGGTGGAAGTCTTTTTATTCTGTCTCTTGTCACCCATTGATCGAGTCTCCTATTAATTCCATCATAATGAATATAATATTCAGGATTTTTAAAACAATCTAATCTTGTCTGAATAATTGTGGCTGGATGCCATTCATTATCTGACTTTTTAACCAAATATGCTTCTCCAATCTTTAATTCCAATGCATCATTGCTGCTTTCGTCGGAAGTGTTTGTTGTAGTTGACGAAACAGACGACTGTTGGATATACTCTGATGTTGAATTTTTATTCTCATTTTCTTTGTCCATAGCTGGCTCTTTCAATTAATTTGGAAATGATGTAATATGATAGCTGGAACTGATCTGCTCGATTTTTTTATTTTATTTTATGATTAAATTACTAAAAATAATAAGAAATAAATGTTGCCATTTACTAAAGAATCCAAAAAGAATAATTAAAAAATAAGAAAAAGTGCGTAGAAAGAAAAAATGCCGAAAACAAGATACAGCAAATGTGACTTATCGATTTTTTCTAATTCCAAAGCTACTTACATTTTTGCTCGTTTCTTTAAAATTGTATTCCTTAAATTCGTAATGAACCTTCTTATTAACCGTTGTAGAGTCAATAAAATGTATTAAATAGATCAAGAATAATATTTTTATAGACATCTGATGATAATTGCTTTTTCTTTTGGCGTTTCTTCTATATCAGCTTTTCCAGAACAATTTTTAAACGAGTTATCTGTCTATTCGTCTTTCTTTATATTCCATATCCTTATTTATTAATTTAAAAAGTATCCTTCTGATTACTTTTTGAAGGATATTTGCTTTGTTTTTCAAAATTGCTGTAAATAGCGTTTATATCTTTTAAAAATTTGTTAATATTAATTAACTTTTATTATTAGAATATATGCGCTTAAGTCACAAGCTGAAGGAAATCTACTATAATAGTTTAAAGAATTCAAATTTTAGCTTAACGTTATTTTCTAGATAATTAACGAAATCTTAATTTGACAATATTTGCACAGTTTTAATTACCACAAATGAGATGTATCAACCTAGAAACTGGCATCCATCCAGTTAAAGTAATAAACAATAACATACGAATTAAAATGATAAAATAACCTTCAGCTAAACATTGAACATGCTGAGTAAATTTAGCACACGTTTTCTTCTTCTTATTTCACAATGTATTGAAACATTCTAATTTAACTATGAAATAAAGTGCATGTTCTTTTTTTTTAAAAAAAAAAACAAAAGTAGTTCTTAAACTAGTGTATCGGGTAGAAACCCAATGCGGATTATATTCACACCGTACTATCATAAGTCTTATGAATAGACCAAGATTTGCCCATCATAAGTATGAAGGTATGAAGCTTGATAAGTCAACTAAGCTACGCTCAGCATAAGTTTGAAGATATGAAGCTAGAGAGGCAGCTGAGCTTCGCTCAGCATAAGTTTGAAGTTATAAAGCTATCGCGTAAGCTGAGCTACGCTCAGCATAAGTTTGAAGATATAAAGCTAGAGTGTCAGCTGAGCTACGCTCAGCATAAGTTTGAAGATATGAAGCTAGAGAGGCAGTGGAGCTTCGCTCAGCATAAGTTTAAAGATATAAAGCTAGAGTGTCAGCTGAGCTACGCTCAGCATAAGTTTGAAGATATGAAATTAGAGAGGCAGTGGAGCTTCGCTCAGCATAAGTTGAAGTTATAAAGCTATCGCGTAAGCTGAGCTACGCTCAGCATAAGTTTGAAGATATAAAGCTATCGAGTCAGCTGAGCTACGCTCAGCATAAGTTTGAAGGTATAAAGCTTGACGAATATGCCAAATATCCTTTAAAAGTTTTTTAAAAAAAATTTTCATCCAAAGTTGAATTTTATAAAAATCACAGTCAACTTTTGTTATAAAAAATTCGTAAGAAAGGAAAGTTTTTTGCCATTTCTGAAGCAACGGCTGTTCCTACCTTGCCCAAAAACAATACAGCTCTTCTTTAGAGTAGCACGGATCAAATGTAAAAAACCAGAAGTCTCTACGATGTCTCGTTATTGAGATTTCTTGCTGATTAACTTGCTTGCTTGCTTGCTTGCTTGTTTGCTTACAGAAAGCGTATTTTGCGATTTTCTCAGCAATGCCACAACCAATTTGAAATCTGTTTTTTGAAAATGATGTAAAATTTCAGGCACAAACTTTTCTTCTTGCCCTTTTATAACCAATTTTGCTTTGTTTTCTCACAAAATGCGAAAAACTGATTTTTCAATCTGAACAAAACCAATAGATTCACACGTGTAAACGGTGTGAATATAATAAAGAGAGCTAATTGAGAAAAATATAAAAAGTCCAACGGTTTTATAAATTTTAAATTTGCTTGTTTCGTGAGTTTCTTAACGGTTTCTTTGTTTATATATTTCCTATATTTCTGAATTCTATTCACTTAGTAAATATTATTAATATTAGCATGTTAAACGATTACTAACATTGTAAAATGTCATTTAATATTAATATTAATAAGATGAGCTTTAATGGACGAAGTTATGCAGACCGAGCTGAAGCTGAAAAGCGTAAAATCAATCGAATACTATCTGTAAGTCAAAAACTTTCTTAGCAACTTAATATAATATTCATGTATTATTGATTTTCTCACACTTTCAATCTATCCATTTCAATTCCAAATAAAGGTCAGAGAACAGTCCAGTGAATTAGCACAAAAGCTATTAAAAAAAACACGAAGTGCGAAAGAGCAAGAGCTCAAAAAGCTACAGCATATAAAAGTAAAGGAACTTGGTGAATTGAAGAAAAAAACACAATGTGAAATTCAGAAACAAATAGATGATTGTGTTGAAAATTTTGGTGATGCTCATATTGCAGCAGTTGATGCTAGTTGCGAAGAAGACGAGTTTCTTAGAGACAGAAAGGACGAGCAAGATCTAATGGCAGCAATGCGAGGTCGTGTATCTATGTTAAAAGTTCAAAGAGAACGTGAACGTGAATTAGAGAATAAGCTATTGAAAAAGAAACGTCAGCAGCAAAAAACAATTGGGATACAAGCTGACTTTCTTTCACAACGAAGGTTTAGTGAGAATTTAATCAATAAACAGAAGAAAGCTGAATCGGACGTTTCTGAAGAAGAAGAAACAAATTTTAATGTTAAACCAAACCTTCACAAACATTCCCAACAATATAATCCACAAAACTACACATCCAACTCTGTTGATTCATCGAATAATTGTGACTCTGAAAGTGAGAGCATAGCTGAACTAGAACAAGACGAATCTGTAAGAGATAATGACGAATCTGAAGTAGAATTCAATCAAATCTCAAATTTGCTGAGGCATAGATTGCACAATAATCGTGAAAATATTCAAATTAATGAAATTGTGGATGTTGGATCATCTGATAGTGAATCAATTAGTTATAGCGTGGTACTACCTAAGAAAGTGACTATAAAAACATCTCCAATTAAGAAAAAGAAAGGAATTTTAAAACAATCACCAGCAAAAATTACAATTAATAAAAAGTTAAGTTCCCCAGTCAAAAGAAAAAAAGAGCAGTCATCCGATAATCGTGTAAGATATGTGGATTTTGGGAATAAATATGAAACAACATATGTGCCCGATAAGAATTTAATTGTACGAAATGAAAAGTCAAAAACAAATGCACGACAAAATGCTCAAATGCAAACAGATGACGATGTAATTACGAAAAAAATAAATGAAGATATTCTAAAGTAAGTAATATTATAAAAAAATAAGCATATGGTATGTATTCATAATTTAATGTATATAGGAAACTCACTGATTTGCGTTCTCAAGAAGCATTGGAAAAGGAGAAAATCAGGAGGGATTATGACAGATTAAGACTCGAATTGGATGAATTGAGTAAACAGGAACAAGAGGCTAAATCAAGAGCTAATGTAAGTTAAATGTCATTATTTTATAAATTAAAATGAGTATTAATAATAACTGTTCTGTAGATGCATACGAATCTTTCAAGAGATCAACTTTTAAGGAAGGAAGAAACTCGCCAACGCAAAATGAATGAAGCTGCTGAAAATGCAATGAAAAAGAATATCATCACGTGTCCACCTGTTGATCAACATGAAAAATCTATGAAACAAAAACTGAGTGAGATAAATGTTGCTGTGCCATCATTAAACAGTAGAGATGTTACAGATAAAGACAAATCAGCAAAGATTAAATTAACAAGATCAAATAGTGAGATTAATAATTTAGTGAAGGTTGAAAAATTGAAAGATTTATTAGAGAAAATCAATCATCAAAAGAGGCTATTGTTGAATGAGATTGAAAAGAGCGATGAAATTCCTGGACCTGATTTAGAAAAAGTAATGGATTGCATTAAGAAATTGGAGCAAGAGAAAACAGAATTAAGTTCTGATAATAGAATGGACGAGTCAAAATTAACGAAAATTGATGAGTTAAATGAACGAGAGCAAAAAATTCAAGAACGTGAAAAAAGGCTAGAAAACAATCTTAGAGAATTATTTAAGAAGCAACAGAAAAAAGAAACTGTTAAAACATCATCATCTAATTCAGAACAGACTGTTTCCGATAATTCTATATCTTCAAGTGATAAAAATGCTAAGAAAATCGTTCAGCCTTCAGTGGAAATCATAATTAAAGTACAGCAGACAAAATCACCTCATAAAAAGTCACGCAAATCATACAGGTGCATTGACACATTAAATCGCGAACCAGGAAGAATTTATCCCAAGACTCCAATTAAGAAAAAAAAATCGATTGATTCTGACATTGAAGTAATCGAAGATAATACTCAAAAGCTACCAGAAAAATCACAACAACAGACACAAACAAGTCCAATAGTTTTAGATGCACCTAAACCTATCCTGAAAAGTTCCCAATTAAAACAGATCTCAATTCCTCCAAAACCAATGTCAAATGAATCCACAAAGCTCTCAAAAGCTTCATCAGTTCCAAAACAGAAACAAACTGCTGAGTCTGAAGACTTTTCTGTATCAACAGTTTATCGAGAACTTCCACAACAAATTAATTTAACTACTGAATCACAAAGAAAATTGAATCCAATGTTGATGGACTATATTACACGATTGTTGGGAATGAATAGGAACATTGGTAATCAATTAAATATTGACGTAAGTTCAGTAACAACTCCTGGAAGTTCCACTATCAATACGACTGGAAATAGGTCTTTACATGATGAATTAAGTTTTGATCAAGATCGTATGAGTCGATTACAGAAATTTATAGATGACAATCATAGCTTTATTAGTGAAATTAATGAAAGTTTAGAACGTGTTGAAGTTCAAAAGAAGCATAATAAGGACCGAGAAAAGAGTGTTGAAGGAATTTGGAAAGAAATTTTAAATAAGAAGAAGTCACAAACGACATCAAATAGTCAGTCAAAAATAAGCAGTAATGCACAGAAATCCAAGCCAATAGCCCCTATTAATGCTAGCAGTAAAAAAATTAGTCAAGTACAACAGTTACCTCAAAAAGAACTCAAAAAATCAACGAGAGAAAGTTCACAAGCATCACTTAATCCTCAACCAGTTCCTCCTCAACACCCGAGAATTTCTCAGGAAGACATGGCTGATGTCTCTAAATACTTAGAATCTCAAATGTTGACTAATTATTCAGAATATACTGCAAACTGCCAACGAAGGATATCAGAACTAACACAAATGATGGAAAAAGTTCGACAGGAGAAATTGAAATTAATAGAAAATTCATTGTCAAGTAACGAACTTAATAACTTTACTGAGTACAAAGACATTGAACATAAAACAGCAGCTAAAGAAAATAATAATGGATCTACAGAGACCAAAGATTCACCAAGCAATCGTGACGATCCTCCATCAGAGGAAATAAACAATATTTTGCAATTCCAAACACGCCCTTTTGGTGTCAGTAAAGATTCAGGAATTTCTGGCATTTCACGTCCAGTCACATCATCAGATTTTCGTGATACACCGCCAGATCGCGTCACATCTGAAGACAATAATCTATTTCAACCAATTCTTAAAGATATTCCAAAACTGCCACGAATGAAAATCACAACAAGTGACGGCGAAACTCAGACAATTAGGGACGTTTCAATATTAATTAAGCAGCAACAAGAGGAAAAGAACCAAAAGAAACAAAGACCGCCATTAAGTTTGAAAAGTCCACAATTTGAGAAACAACAACACGAGCCTCATGAATTATCAACAATTGCTGAAATTGAAACGCCTACGGCAAGTAAAGTTAATATCGAAGCAGAAATCAGTGGAGTTGGTGCTTTACATTCATTTCCAAATTTTGAAGAATATGCAAAAAATAATGAAAAGAGTACGAGTGAAAATAAACAGGCGGAGATCTCATTTCCGGACATGAATGATTTGATGAAAGCACTTCCTGATTTGAATGTAAAGACTTTTGTTAATCAGAATGATCTCAGTATTGTTAATTTCACTAAAGATGATGAAAAAGACGTGCCTTCAACTGATTCATCTCTTATGGATATTATGGGGGAACTGAAGCATAGAAATTTGATTGAATCTACGTTCAAAATTTATTATGAAGATGAGGATAGTGACAATTTGTTGGAAGCAGGATATGAAAGGGATGATAAAACAACACCGACGACAACACATCAATCGACTGAACCAATTTCACCGAGGAGAAGAAAACCAGCACAAAGTCGAATAATTATTAAAACTCCAGAGAATACAGGAAAAGCTGAAATAATTCATACACCAATTAAGGAAAAGCATCATGGGCCCCATATATATGAGGATAAAAGTATCAATTCCAATGACACATTAAGCGGTATATTAGAAATTGAAAAGGATTTCCAAACTCATGGTATGGGTTGGGCTGTATCGACTATGAAGAGAACAGAAGTGAGCAAGAAGCAAGCAGCATCATCAAGTTCTAGTAATAATCAAGATTCCATTAAAATCAATTTTGAATTTGATAATTCATCGTCATCAAGTGACGGAAAGCCATTAAATCTCCGCGACTTTCTACGTCGTGAATTGCTGACAAGAAGCAATAATGATCCTTATTTATCTGATGATTCTTCACTTAGTAGCAAATTTGTTAAATCGCTTTTAAAAGCATCACATTCGATAAGTAGTACAAGCAGTAATGATCCCAAAAGTGAATCGTCACAAAATGCAAAGCTTAGGACGTCCACACCGGTACGAATGAGTTCAGAGAATTTAGCAAAGACTGGAGCAAGTTCTCATGTATTTAATGGAGCTGACAGTGTATCTACAGTTAAGGATTCTGACAGCAGCAGAGACAAATCTGACAAAGATAAATTGAATAGCTAATGAAATGAATTTAAGTCCTTGAACAACGAAATTTAAAAGACGACACGTTATGTTAGTGATTAATTTCTAATAAAATTTTTAAGTTATTTCCTTATTATGTATTTTTGATTCTTAAAATAGTATTTATGTTTATTACACTTCTTATGATTATTTTAGTGAATTTTATAATTATTATTTTTCGTTTGTTTTAAGAGAATTTTCATGCATAAATGGACATTATTAAACATTAACGGCTAAACTTTATTTACTTGCGACTTATTGACATATCTCTCTAATATAAAGGTGTTTTAGATTTTCATACTTTTTGACTGTTAATTAATTCCACGCTGGTTTTATATCTTTTTGATGTTTCTCGCAATTTAAAACTAAAGCAAATGGAAATTGAAATCGAAAATCTCATCCTTCCAAAAATTTTAAGTATAAAATCTTCGAATATCAAATGTTTGGATCTTCTGTTTCAGCATTTATCAATGGCATGCTGCATATCCTATTCATATATCAATTTACTGAATACAGTACTTAAACATATGGATTAGAAATAAATAACCGAATGGCTTAAAGCTAACAATAGAAGCAAATATAATGGAACATTCTATAAATTTGGATAAATATTCCCAAAGCACCCGAGAGAGAAAATAGCCAATTATGGTTGCAGATTGTAATGGTGGAAATAATCTCAAGAATCTCACTTTTATTATGTCTACATGTTCTACATAATTAATAGTTAAGAAATATCGGTTTTGCATTTTAGAATTTCAGTTTATTGGAATTTAAAAATTCATTATTTGATTTTAATTTCAATAAAAATTAATTTAAAACTTCTTTCGATTTATCTGCCTGCTTTCCTTTATTTCTCTTTAGTTTTTTCTTACTCAAATTTTTCATCTCCTTTTTCATGATTTTACCATTTGTGGGAGTTTCATGAATATTTTCATGTTTCCAAGATTCAGGAACCATTTCGATAGTTTCAGCAGGTTTAACTTGTTTCTGTAACTTTTCAAACAATGAGAAACCACCTGACTTGGATTTAACCTTTGACCTTTCGTTCGTTTCAACTTCCAATGCTTTTCGCAATTTCTTTTGTGCATTGGCAAAATTAAGTGCATTCAATTCCTCAATTTCTCGTTCTGGTTTCATTTCCTGTACAGACTTTTTGTTTGCAGTTTTTATGAGTTTGTCGAAAAAGTTTATTTGATCCGGTGCAATGAGCGTAACGGAAGTTCCTTCATGTCCTGCACGTGCTGTACGACCAATTCGATGAATATAAATTTTTAAATGCTTTGGGACATCATAAGAAATTACACAATCAATTTTGGCAACATCTATACCCCGAGCTAAAGCATCACTACAAATGAGTCCATTTACGTCACCGTTACTGAATCTGTGAAGAACTTTTTGACGAATTTTTAATGGAAGTAAGGATGAAAGTTCTTCAATTACTAAATCTTTGCCAAAAAGTGTTTGCAGTATAAATGATAAACGATGCGACGTCTCGACTGTATTTGTAAAGCACAAAAATCTACTCCAATTATGTTTCTTAATTAATGCATAAAGTGTTATTGGTTTGAGCTTGTACTCCGTAATCGTAAAGAATTCCTTAAGCTCAGCAGGCGTTGTATATTTTCCAATAAATTGTCCTCGTTGATCCTCTTCTTGTTTTCTTTCTTGATATTTAATTAAGTCTTCCTTATTATCAGCAGTTGTGAATAATTTTGGTTGAAACAGATTAAATGTGCTCATTTTTTCAGGATCCTGACTGAGCGTAGCCGAAAATAGAAGCTTTTGAGGAAGTCTATAACTTCCATCGTCATTTACTAATGACATTAAATCCCGATAGCTAAGTCGATTAGATTGCAATTCATTAATGATTCCTAGATGTTGTAGCAAATGATGATACCAATCGTTATGAACTTGTGACATTGCGTGATCTGCTTCGTCAATTACTAGAAATTTTAGGGATTTCAGATTAAATCCCTCTGTGTAGAATAAATGCTCTACAAGTCTTCCACCCGTACTGATAATTATGTCAACTTTTGAACTAAATTCACCATCGATTGTCTTTTCAATTAAAGCTTTCTGTTCGGCTGCAAAATCTCGATGTTTTGTAAGCAACAAACAACGAACTTTCAAATTGTTACAAAGTTTGTCAAAGACGGAAGCAACTTGTGTCGCAAGCTCAAAAACAGGAAGCATGATGAGAGCAGTTACTCGACTCTCAGTTTTATTGTCAACTATATATTGAACAATTGGAACACTATAGCTTAATGTCTTTCCACTGCCGGTAACTGCTGACACACAAATGTCTTTTGGACGAAATGGAATTGGTTTCTTGTGAGCATTAAGAATGTTTGGCATTATTTTCTCTTGAACAGGAAATAAATTTTTAATCTTCATGTTCTTTAAATTTTTCTGAAGCGTTTCACAAATGTATTTGAGCTCAGCAACTTCCGTTCCTTTAATACTCAAATCACTTGATATAATTTCTGGATTTGCAAGCCAATAAGGCAGAATCATTTCAATAGGTTGTGGCTCAACGAATTTCTGTCCTCCTAAAATTGTATACGACATTTCTTCTAATTCTTCAGTTTTCTCGTTTGTTTCTGTATCTACTGGTTCCTTCTTAAATTCAACTTCTAATTGTTCCTTCTTAACTTTATTTTTCTTCTTCTTTTTTTTAACCATTTCATCACTTTTAACTGGTTCAATGTCCATAGATTCAATCTTAATGCTGTCATTTTTGTTAATTGATTGATCAAGCTGTTTTTGCTTCTTCTTTTCTTCTATCCTTCTCTGAAGTTTCTCCAAAATTTTCTCCTCACGACTTTTGCTGTTTCCTTCAGTTTTTGACTCATCATAGCTACAAATAATTAATGCAAGTTAATTTACTTCAAATATTTGAGAATTTTAATAATTATTAAGCATAATTACCGATTAATTACGAAAAGATCCATTTTAATTTAAATTTTTTAGCGCTCACGTGCAATTGTTTATGTTTTTTGAACAATCCAGAGTAACTGATGGATATAGATTCAGACTTGGTGAATCATTTTCTACTATTATTAATTTAATCTATTATTTCATTAAATTCATACATAACGATAGAATATTATTAAGCAGATTTAGTGTATTAGTGTACATAAGCATTTCAAGTTAGTCATACAAACAAAGGAATAAGCATAATATTAGCGAACAATGAAAACTTAAAATATCGATAACATTAAAATTTATTTCACTGAAAACATGGGAATTTTGATGACAATTTGTTAAGATATTACTGTCAATTTATCGTATGAGGAAGTGCCATAATGGCGCAAGCAAGTGAAATAGATGAATATGGTTTCAAAAGATGTCAAGAAGAAATGCGATTTATTGAGGAAAATAAAGATTTCTTCACGAAATTAACGAAGCAATTGATGGCATGGGAGGCACTAAATAATAGAACTAATCCGTTCTTCAAAAGTACAATGCTTAAAAATTTCATCCGTAAAGGTAAGTGTAAACTAGGATTAAAGAAAATCACGCTTCATGGGAATATTCACACTATCTTGTAGAACTCTATGTATTGTTCAGTAAATATAAAGATCTTCTTTTAATTAAATGTTTAAGCTTTTGAACGAGCTTCTTCTCAGTCAGTTTCTTATTTACATCAGACTTCAATATAATTTACAGTCTTGATCGTTTTGAGTCAAACCAACCAATCAAACCGAGGACCCATCAATAATAACTGTTGCAATATATCAGGATTGTTAAGGTCATTTATGCACCAATCTGGAACCAAAAACAAAGTTTCAGTAAAAAACAAATCAAGTCTGGAGCAAAAACTTAACTTGCGAAAGAACTAGCTAGAAACATTTCATTTATCGGCTATAAATTGGTGTTGTGCCTCACTGGAAGTATATCATGACTCCGAAAACAAAACAGTATTTGCAATACCGAATATCTACCAGATGCAAAAAAAACCTAAAGTTTTATCGACAGATTAACTTAATTGTATAAAGCAGTATAAAGGTTTTTTGAATGTCTTGATATAATTTTTAAAATTTTATTGTACTTCACCTACTTATCCGTTTGTCTTCAAACTTTTTTTATTTGATAGATAGAAGCAGATACAAGTTAGAGCTTTCTTGTGAATATTTAAATGATATGCTTTTGAAGCATATTAGTTCCTAAAAGTAGAAAATACTACGTCATTTCCGTCATTTCTAATTTGTTATAACTCATATCTATCTATATGATGCACTTTAAATTATTAGATTTGTATGATCTTATTTATGTTTGCAAACATCACATATCACCACAGATTTTATGTAGTTTGAGAGGTGAAAATCAACTTTGAAGTGAAAAATTTGCATATTTTTTTGCTAAGCATACATAATGTAGACCGATCACAATTTGGTGTGAATACGAAAAACTCTTAGTCATTATCTAATGTAATTGAACCCTAAAACTTAATTCCAGGTGTTCCACTTAATTTGAGGAAGCAGGTTTGGCTGAAAATGAGCGGTAGTCAAAGACTGATTCAACTACATCCGAATTTATATGAAGATTTATTTAGGAATCAATTTCAAAAAGAGATTGTAGACTCGATCAAAATTGATATACCGCGAACATTTCCCGACAACATTTATTTTGATAAATATAAAGTTAGTCTTTACAATGTTCTAAGCGCTTTCGCTTCTCATAATCCAATAGTTTCATATTGTCAAGGATTAAATTATATTGCTGGTATGATTTTGATCGTGTGTGCTGGAGACGAGGAAGCAACATTTTGGCTTTTGAAGCATTTAGTGGAAATTGTATCGCCGGAATATCACACAAAAACAATGAAAGGCTTAAAACGAGACATCGAAGTAGTAACAGAATTGATCAAAATCAGACTTCCAGTAGTCAATGAGAAAATGAACGAATTAGGATTACCGTGGATTGTAATTATGACAAAATGGTTTATTTGTCTGTTTGCAGAAGTCCTGCCTATTGAGACATCACTAAGAGTTTGGGATGCTTTATTCTCAGAGGGATATAAAATAATTTTTCGTACTAGTCTGGCAATTGTTTTAATACTAAAAGACGATATCATGAAGGTTGAAGACATCAATGAGCTGGCTGAATTATTCAGAAACATCTCAAAAGACGTCCGTTTCATCAACTCACACGAATTTATGAAATTTGTGTTTTCTTTAAAACTTAAAAGACGTGAAATTCAAGTTTTACGGAGAAATTATTCAAGCATAAACTAAGGAAATATTATTACCTAGAACAAAAAATGTTTGTACGATTGTAAAACTTATGTTTTAATGCATAATTCATTATTTATACATGTCTAGTTCAATAAAAGATTAATATTTTTTTATTACTTTCTTGTTTTGTCATTAGAGATTGCTTTTTATCACCAATTTGTTCAAATTAAATCACAAAAGATTAACAATATTCAAGCACCTATTGTTCACCGCTATCTTATCAATTCGAGCAATTTTTTAAGTAGAAATATTCTATGACTGAAAATTTTATTGCCTCATTATGCAAATAAGTAAGTCATAAAATTACCGATACTGCCCTGATTATTTCTTAACAGCAAGTAGGTAGCTCTTTGTGTTTTGTTTTTCACGACGCTCAATTACTTGAAAGTGCCAATAAATTATGTTTTACAACAAATGGGAGTAATTATTACTGAAAAACTTTAAAATTAACAATCAATAGAACAATTGAGCCTTTCCACGCGAAAATGAGACTCGGTATTTTTTTGGTTTTGGCTCAATAAAACCATTGATAATGGTCCAAACTATAACATGTTATATATTTTTGGAAAGCTCTCGAGTTAAGCTTTCAATGTAGGTGAAAAAAAATTAATTATATTTTCAAGGGTTGGAAACTTTCAGGTTTGAAACTATTGATCAACATACATTTTTGCGCGACACGCTGTGCTTTACTCTTTAGAGCAAACAGGATTATTTTAATTGAATTAGATTAAGTAAATAAGGTATTAATGCAAAAAGGAAAGTTTTTAAAATTATTCTGCTTGGTTTTATTTTTATGAGTTATCAAACCTTGGTAATTTTTCTGTTCTTTTTTTATAAAAATGCTTATATCTTGTCCAAACATTCGAATTAATTGATGATTTAAACGCTGTTTATCTTATTTTTTTCATTCTTTAAATTTAAGCTCAAAACTACTTCCAAGGGGTGGAAACTTTTGTAAAAAAAGTTATCAACCCTTGTTTTTTTTCCTTTTTTTTCTATTTAAACTATTAATTAAAATTGTTATTAAATATTATGAACCTAGAATAACATAGTTTTTATTAAAACTAATAGAAAAACATAAAAACTTAAAAAAAATTAATGCATAAATGATTTTTCATGGTTTTTCTTGGGATCTGTATCAAAATCGTTTTTTATACTCTGATTCCGTTTCTGATTCATTAATAATTAATGACAATGAGATACTGAGATATAAAAAGACGATTTTGATACAGATCCCAAGAAAAACCATGAAAAATCATTTATGCATTAATTTTTTTTAAGTTTTTATGTTTTTCTATTAGTTTTAATAAAAACTATGTTATTCTAGGTTCATAATATTTAATAACAATTTTAATTAATAGTTTAAATAGAAAAAAAAGGAAAAAAAACAAGGGTTGATAACTTTTTTTTTACAAAAGTTTCCACCCCGTGGAAGTAGTTTTGAGCTTAAATTTAAAGAATGAAAAAAATAAGATAAACATCGTTTAAATCATCAATTAATTCGAATGTTTGGACAAGATATAAGCATTTTTATAAAAAAAGAACAGAAAAATTACCAAGGTTTGATAACTCATAAAAATAAAACCAAGCAGAATAATTTTAAAAACTTTCCTTTTTGCATTAATACCTTATTTACTTTATCTAATTCAATTAAAATAATCCTGTTTGCTCTAAAGAGTAAAGCACAGCGTGTCGCGCAAAAATGTATGTTGATCAATAGTTTCAAACCTGAAAGTTTCCAACCCTTGAAAATATAATTAATTTTTTTTCACCTACATTGAAAGCTTAACTCGAGAGCTTTCCAAAAATATATAACATGTTATAGTTTGGACCATTATTAATGGTTTTATTGAGCCAAAACCAAAAAAATACCGAGTCTCATTTTCGCGTGGAAAGGCTCAATTAGTCGCATGTCTTTAAAACAATAGTAATGGAAATAAAAAAATTCTTACTTGCATTTTTTCTTCTATTTAAAATAGATTCTAGTGAGGAATGTAAAAGTATCAAATTAAATCTTATTTCCAATGAAAGTTTAAAAATATTGGTAAGTCCTGAAGCACAAATATTTTAAATCCCTACAAATTATTGCATTTAAAAGTTGTTAATTTCATAAGGACTTCTTTGTTGAATACCAAAATCAAGAGAAGGAGGAGGAAGAAGTTGAAATACCACTTCAGCCAAATATTATGAATTTTAATATCAATAATAACACAAATAACACTTACATAAATGGAACAAGCATTCGTAAGACTAATTAGACAATTGATCAAGAATTAAATAATTATAATCATATGCTGTTATAGGAGGTGATTGTCATCATTGTGTTTTCAATAGTGTTCAAAAATCTATTAAATAAAGTTTAAGCAATTTGCAGCTATAAAATTTAAATAAATGATTTTAAAAACGTGAAAAAAGTCTTTCCTAATAGTTGGTTAAATTTGTGTAAAACCTTCAGCTACTCCAATAAAACATCAAAAAAAATCATTTTTTGAATCTAAAATATTTTTATCGACTATCCTAAAAGCAAATAATGCAGAAGTCATGCAGTTGAATTAATTTTTTTCTCATACTAAATGCCATTGATAAGAAACAAAGCCGTAAAATGTTTCAGAAGTATATAAGCTCGACAGAATGATTTTTTTAACAAGTTAAACCTCAAACAACCAACCACGAGAATCATAACGATGGATAAAAAAGTTTTGTTACTTTTAATAACTTTCATTACAGCCACATGTGCCGAACCATTTATATTTGATGTAAGATACATTGATTAATTTATTTCATTTTAAATATTACAAGTTAATCTGTTTAGATCCTTTATGAGCTATTTGATTCATCAGAAGAGTACAGTTGGGATAACAAAAATATTTCTAGTAAGTGTGTCTTGGTGACTAGCTTTAGATTATAGCTTAATATGCTTAATTTTAGTTCAATGCAAAAATTGTTCAATTTCTGTAAATGGTCAGCAAGTGGGAAATGAAATGACAACTATGAATGGAATGGCAGGCATGAATGGGACGAATGGAATGGCAAGTACAGATGTCATGTCAACGACACCAAATGCGAATTGACAAAATAGAAATGGGCGATAATTAACTACTTTTCAAATAAAACCTTGTTCGTTTTAAAAATCATTTAAGTCTTCAACTGTTAATGTACCCCATGTAGGTATTTTACCTTTACAAATTATATTGAAGTGGATTTAAATAAAGAAAAGATTTTTAAAACCATGCTAGATAATATTTTATTTTTGACTTACCTACGATGCAAACATGATAAATTGAGCATTTTTGTCGAACTGTTTGAAACATTAAGTTGTACATAACAGTTGAGAAAGAAAAATAAGTGACTTTACATTGAGGCAGCAGATATGCATTTTTTTGAAAATACTCTTTGGTTTCAATCAGAGATACTAATCTTATTTAATAATTAAAATCGGAATATCAGAATACACACAGCACTTGAATGATTTTACATAGAACGGAAGATTTTAATTAAGAGATTATTCTTCGAGAATTACGTTTTTCAAGGCTTTACTTTGTTATCTGCAGAGCTCTAAAGAATTGAAGTCGATTTGAGAAAAGTTGAGTCGAGTCGAGTCAACTCAAGTCGACTCGAACCTTATTGACTTCGAGCTCTGTTCTTTTCTTAGAACATGTAATGAAAGAGCTAAGACACAATTTATCATGAAAACTGCAATCAATAAAAATTATTCAAAAAGTTTTTGTTTCATCTCATAAATTTCGGTTCAATAATGGCAAAGCAATTGTATGGAAAATAGCAGGAGATGGAAAAAATATCGAGTCTGTTATTATATGAGAGATGAGAACAGGAAATTCGTCAGGATATTGAATTTCGATCAAGATTAAATCAGAGCTTTTTCTCTCTAATAATTCATTAAATTGAGACGGAAAAGGTAGTGGAGTATAAAAGTGGAGCTTCTTTATGTTCAGCCTTTTTTACATGAGCGAAACTGAAAGATGAGATGGTGAAGAATTAAGGTAGATAGCAAGAAACATGAAGAACATGGAATTTATTTTCCTCAATGGAAAAATCAATTACCTGGATTTTGTGTGATAAGGCACACATAACATTACAACATCATTACATTATTCTCTACAATTTATGTCAAGGTTAAAAACGAATCCCTAAATGACATTGTAGATTATTGAGGATGCAATGCATCGCTACCTTGTTCAATGTTAATCACCATGCAAAGTGTGATAACTTTGAGATCTTCTGGCATACGATTTATTATAATCTAGCAAGTGTCTATGTAACAGAGACGTAGTAATGAGATAAATGGGTGCTCTACAATGGGACAGAAATTTTTGTTTTAGCTCCGATCAACAAATTCTTTTGGCTGTGCTTCTAACCTGAAAGTTCAGAAAAATTCTTGGGAAATAAATTCAAGTCCTTTTATTTTCTTATTCATTATTCTAACACAATCACAGCTAAGAGTTTGGGATATAGTTTATAGTCACCACAGACTGTTTATAAAATTGAAATTTTATTTTCAGCACATCCAGAAAAGCTTGAAAAAAATCGTACATATAATTTATTGATATAAGAAAAACTAGGACAACTTTCAGCAATTTGTTCCTTTTTTGGAACTTTAACATTCCAGTAAAATTCTTAATTTAACTTTAAAAAAATAACTGATTGCAAAGAAAGCATCATTCATGACTGACTCAATAAAATATGTTCATATGGGAATTTTCTTTAATTTACATCAACATATTATGAGGAATTAACTGAATAAAATGAGTTTATATCATCAAACCAAGGCAGCGAACATGCCACAATGATTCAGAATCGAAAAAAATGTTCAAAAATTCAAAAATTTCATGTTAATTAAACTATGTCCTTTAAATGCCAGATTAAAGATCTTAACTTGAGGCATATCCTATGAAAATATCTCGTCCCAATTTGATGTCTAACTCCAGAAATCATTAATTTAATCTCACCCAAAATTTGTTTACAATTTGTGTATGAAAAAAAAAATATGATTTTTTCTACTTTAAGTTGTTATTTGGATGTCTTGGAAGCAGTTACTAGCTAATTTAAGCTTAGCTTTACATACTAAAACAACCAACTCAATAGAAATCTGCGTATTAAGCCTTAAAAATGGAATTGAAATCTGAGTATTTTTACACTACTTAAACTATTCATAAGTTAAAAAGTCTTCCAAAGACCTCTCTGAAACCTATATAAATCCATTAATTAAGTTAAAATCTATCTCCCATATTACTGAGGACATGCCGTTTGATGCCGTTTTCGAGATATTTGCGATCAAAGTTTACATAAATTTTCATACAAAATTTGATCATGCACAATATTTTTTGATAAACTTTTACAAACTTTTGGTAAAAAATCATGTTTATCCTTTATATTAGGGACTAATTTTTTGAGCAATGAACGAAAACATTATGTAGATGATGCTAAAAGATTCAAATCAAGAGAAATTAACAAAAACTTTCAATTTTCTAATGTGTTGGAAAAATATTGTGCACAAGGAATTTTTGAACATTTTTTCCGAATCTGAATCATTGTGCATGCAAACATTAATATTCACATGGTCTGATTTATTATGATCGTTTTATGGTTTTTGCATCATTTACATTTTTTATAGAATTACATCGTCAATTTAAACTAAGTTAATAGTTATTGCTCCCGCTGTTATTTAAAAGGACCTAGCAGCACTTTTTGGGAAAATGTTAAATTTTACAGCATTTAGCATCATACGTTTATATAAATTATCTACATTCAAAAATTTAAAATGTTAATTTTAATCATGAAGTCAATGAGCTATAACATGAAATACAATAAATATTCTATGAGATGCCGAGGTGCCAAAAGAAAGTATGTAATACTCCGTAATACTGAGAAAATGTATTGAAAATTTTAATTTAATTCATAAATATTTGAGTATTGATTTTGTGGGGTTAAAATGTAATTTTGAAACGTTTTTCCCCACTCATTCACATTTAACAAGCTTGTGCCTTTTAACCCATTGTCAGTTCAGTTCAAATGAAAACACAAAATGACTCTCATTAATATTTAACTTGTGGAAATAAGGAGGAGAACGAATGGATGGAGAGAAGAACATACAGTGGAAACACGAAACGAAAAAAGTCAAGTATTGAACTTTACTACGATTTTATTTACAGCTTAACAATTATTTACTAACGTTAGTCTTTCAATATTCATTGGGTAGCTCGCTTTTGCTTACATATTCTTAGTATTTTAGCGTTTTAGATTTAAGGCTACATTTAATTCAAATTATTTAAAGAATGAGGTTATGCAAATCCAAGTTTAAAGCTTTAAAATGTCTAATAAAATACAATATATCCAAACCCATTTTGACTGAGAGGAAACTCAGTCTTGATTTTCAAAAGTATGAGACATAGTTTTAATAATTTTAAACATATTACCAATTGCAACCTAATTATCTCCGTTTTGCAATCATTTGCCATTCTTTTTGCTAAGCACCATACATCGAGTAGAACACTAGTGATGCCGACAAAGTTAAAGTATGGACACTTCAATTCATAATATTTATCATGGCTCAAATTCATGCAAGAAATCTGAAAATTTCATATCTACTTTCTCTTTTAAGAACATCATGAGCTCCCATGGTTCACCACTCTCATTTTTTAAGGTACTTATTCTAATTTAATTTGATTTACTACATCCCCACAACTCTTTCTTTCATTTCCCTTTTTCATTACGTGTACACATTTCTTTCAATATAAATATTAATTTCGGTCTTGTGGCTTTGTATGATATTTTTGGATAGCGTGCGTTGAGTGAATAAAATTTAGTTCATCAACAGACACATCATGAAATCTCAAAATGAAATAATAAATTATTATCACCAACAATGATTGGTATTGAAAAATAAAGGAACTGGTAAAAAAATGTTTGCATTGATGCGGTACAGGAGCGCATGCATTTCAATGTCCCTTCAATTTTAGCTCCTTTAATATTTTTATGCCATAGTTATGAATCAATACTAAATATGTCATAGAATAATAAAGACAGAAACCGACTTGAACAAGATGTTACTAGTTCTAGAAATTCTTCTCTACAAAACTTCAGATGGTAAGAGACAACTTAATGACAATAACGCCTATTGAACTGAAGCTTGAAAAATATGCTTAAGAAATGAAAGAAAACAGGATTCGTGAGAAATGAAAATAAGAAGATTCATTTCTTGAATATATTTACAATTTGATTCTGATGAACTTTCAGGGGTGTGAAGAGAATAAATATACAATTTTAATGTGACCTAGCTAGTAAGTTGTTAATTTTTTTATGTGCTTGTTTTCAAAACAAGGATCTGTATAGATGCTTTAAGGTACAGCATTCATCTTTTGATGTGAAAGTTTATTTTTTTTTTTTCTTAAATGATCTTAGCCAATTGAAAACATAATCACAAATAAAAGAAAGCAGAGCTCGAAGTCGATAGGGTTTGTCGTCTCATGACATTACGAAAAGCTTTTAATATTTTGTGTTAAGTATCTGGTTATGTCATATTTCTAAAGTCAGCTAAAAAGTTTCAAAACTTTGACACATTAACGTGGGCAAGTTTGAATAAGAAAGATTTTATTCTTCTCATATATATGACTTGAAAATAGTCATTCTAAAAATGAAAAAGAGCAAACAAAAATCATTAACAAAATGAAAATTGACCGACTATTCACTTTCAAACTGTTTTGTGCTTTTATTACTTCTTCGAATTCACTTAACACAAATATCTAAGCGAAAATTTGGAAAATCATTATGTGTACAACAATACTATTCACCGGATTCTTTCATTAACCTCCATATGTTTTTCCCCCCATATGGATGGTTTGGTAGTATCAAAGTATAAGTTCAGATAATTTCCGACGACTTTTTTTTTTCATTTTAATTGCACTTTATTGCATTTATTGACGATATATTGTCCGGTAATAATTCACATTTTTCACTTTTGTATTTGTATACACATGAATTAGTATTATGTAGGATCAAGCTTCTAATCTTCTTATCTAGGTTTCAAATAAACTAAGGCTCTCGTTTCGATCTTCTGTGGGCGTGACGTGATACTTTTCAGGTCCGTTCCAACAATATTCCATTCGTGGGTAATCTTGTAGCTCTCGTTCATATTTCTCCCGCTA